CAGGGACTTTTTATGGCACTCGATTTTATGAAATTAGAGTACGAAAACACGCATATGAATTAACAAAAGAGTTTAGGCTGATGCGGCAAATTATTTTACGGTTTCAAAGAGTTTGGAAGGAATTCCACTCTGATAGTGTTCTATTTTTCGATCAGCTTTCAACCACGTTAAGGCACTTTTACACTGCCCCCTTGTTATTTTAGGTTTCTAGGCTTTTATTTTAAGTCTGAAAGATTTTGTTCTCTTAATTAACGACATCGTGGGCGAGAAACTAATAAAATACAAAGTAGCATCTAGTTCTCGCATAATGACCCCCCAAACAGTCTGCCGATGAACTTCCGAAAGTGACTAGCTAGACGTAGCGACAAATGAACATATCGGTTGCATTGTTATGTCATAAACGATGTCAGTGCCAATAGCTGAATAACGGTTCACAGCGGTGCAGACATGCGTCCAAGATTATGGGTTTTGAAAATTACCATACCGGCTCGAAAAAGTACCAATTTGAATATGATATTATGGCCAGTTTTATCAATTTTTATAACTGATATGTTAGCATTTTTTTAAATTTTATTCGTGCCTTGGCGGGTCACGAATAAAACGCGATGGGTCACTTTGTGACCCGCGGGTCAGTGGTTCGCCATCCCTGGTCTAGTATCATTAAGGCTTGAAGATGAAAAAAAGAAGGGAACTCAACATAGAAATAAAAAGAACCTGGTATAAAATAGTAAAAGCAATTGATGCTTGCAATAAAATAACAAACATTTTGGCAGAAAAAATATAAGGTATTGCAGTTACATATAAAATCGGAGAGAAAAATGCAATAGAATGATAAAAATATCATAAAATAATATGGTAGTATTCATGTTAGGTGGGGCAATAATTTATTGGTTCGATAGATAATGTCAACATCTGCTCGGGACATTATTAATTTTTACATATCATATTAGTCTACAAACTACCTGAATTATTCTCTTATTGCTTTAAATTTAAAGAAAAAAATGACGAAAATCGAAAAAGCATGATAAATATCAAGCGAAGAACTAGGTTGCAAAGCAATTTATGTAGTTAAAACCAAGGAATCCGTGATATTCTAATGAATCACCAGCAAGTTATACTTTATCCAATGCTGGCAAGCAGAATTCTTGTTGAATATTTCTTCCCAGAAGGTACAAATCATCTTTGCTGGCAGCTTGATGATGGATAACGTTAGAGGGAGGTAAAAGAAGTTGTCTCATGACAGTAGGGTGAGGTAATTGTGAGCTTGGCATATAAGGAGGTATGTAAGATGGAATTGTGGCAGTATTTGTGTACAAGGCATTTGAAATGGTAGGCTGAAGAAAATATAGTCCTACAGGTCTTGTTAAGGGAGGTAACACTGATGTTACCTGCTGAGATGAGTTTGTATAAACAGCGCCTGGAGGCAAACTACTAACAGTGGTAATAGTATGTGGCCCAACTTGTGTAAAACTACTACAAAATGGTGAAAAATAAGAACTAGTATGTGCCTGCGGTACAACAGGCATTGTTACATTAACATGAGAAACTACGTCTGGACTATTGTAATCAAAAGACATGGTATCAACTAGCGCATAAAGCCGCTGTGGGACAGAAGTCATAGGTTGTGAATACACCGGCCCCGTAAACCTATCAGGGACAGTGATAACAGCTGCGATAATCACAGGTATAATACAAGAAAAATTATTGTCAACAAAATTGGGTGAACTGTTTGGCAACTGTAAAACATTTGCATTAGAAAATTGGTTATAATCTACAACACTGCATGGGGTTGAAGACTGAACTGCATGAATAGCAGACAAAGGGCAATACGGTGGTTGTAAAACATTTAAAGACGAATTCAAGTAAGAATTTATACCTGCATTTTTCAAATTATTGTTAGACAAAAGTGGAACTGAACTAGGTCTCTGATTCACTTCAGTTGAGTGGCGAAAATTGACATCCTGTGCTGAGGTGATGATGTCAACATCCAAAACTGACTTGAAAGTGGATGAGTCTCTGTCACTTGTCAATTCATCGAGTAGTTGAGCTTGTGGTTCTTCAAGCTTTGCTTTCATCTCTGCTAATCTTTGCTTTTGCGCTGCTAGTTGTCCTTCTTGCATTGCTAAATGTGCCGCCAGTTCTCTTTCTTGTAAAGCTCTTGTTTTAACATTTATTATTTTCCAGTCTTCTATAAGATGATGAAGAAGATCTAGATTTCGACGAATGAGATATTGACTGTTTAAAAATGTAGCTAATGTCGGCTTCTTTAACTCAGGAGTCCAAATATTGACGATAAAATCACGTCACATGATTTCAATTTATCCACAACCTGAGTCAGGTGTAATTTTGCCACATGTTGATCAAGTCCATTATTTGAAATATAATTCTCCAAATAAATTTTCCAACTGTTCAGATAATCGCATACTTTCTGATAATGTATTGTAAAGTAACACTTTGTTGATTTTGCTTATCTAGAACAAGTTGTGCAAAAATGTTATTCAAATTAGTAAAAGTTTGTCCGTAATGGTCATTCGCTTGACGGATTTCCAATCCACTCAACGTTGTTGTAGTGGAGTCCTATTTGCACCCGCACCCGCTTTGAAGAATTATGCGCAATCTCCCAGCTTCTAGTAACTGCACAACCAAAGTAGTAAAGAGGCAACGAGATCCTTAGAAAACGAACTGTATTCATCAATCTCCACATAAGAGTAAAATGTTGCTACAGCATAGAAACTTGAAGACCAACGATAAAACTAATTTATAACGACACGGATGCACTATATAAATAAGCAATGAAAGAATGATAAAATAACATTCACAATAACAAGCAATAATAGCCAATACTAAATGGCCAATACTAAATTTGATTTATATTTAAATTTCTGAAACACAACTAAAAACAAACGAATGTAATTCAAAAACCGAGAAATTGATGTTTACGACCACGCTTGAAAATCTGCCTGAGCGAGAAAAGTGTCTGAGCGGATGCGAGAGGAGGCATTGTTATGTTTATTTTTGCATCTTGCTTATTGGCCAATGTCACGAAGTGGACAAGGAAATCTATGCCCGAGGATACATTCATTATACAGGCAAAACGGCGGTTTTGACATGAATTAATTTTATTTATAATCTACGCTCGAGAAGTAAATTACATTTTTTACGTAACAGAATTTATCGTGAGACACGTTTAGACTAAATTATATGTCACATTAAATGTCATTGGAATAATTTTTCAATAAGACGACTGAGTTGAGTTTATAAATTGCCGCAGTTTTTGAGCGCTGTTCCGTTTTTAACTTTCAAAAAATATATGCGACCGGCAAAAGACTAGCAACCCTTAATTTTGTCCCGCGAGCGACATAAAATTTGCCGACCCACTGCGTCGCAGCCGACAGTCGGTCACGGCTTTTTCCACATCCGAGTCCACGATTCTGAAATAAATGGCTGATTAATTCTATGGACTGGTGATCGGGCTAGGGGCCGTGGTAGGATGAAGAATCGAGGATGAATTTTACCGAAGATCAGTATATATCATGTATTTTGGTGCAGGTCATCAGGCTGTAGGGATGAATGAGATGTACAAAAATAAATATTATAAGTTTGGGGAAATTAACTTTGTTTTCATTGATTTAATGTAAAATGGGGTGAATGTAGAGAGTTAAATGCTATAAGGCAAGTACACGGCGGTTTTTGAGGAGGTAAAACCCTGGATTCTTCCATTTCCGACCTCTTATCTGCTGAAAAATAGGTTTTCAGCCGTGCTACTATTGCTATCAAAACAAGGTAATCGCCTTTCCATCAGTAAACGGGGTGATTTTAGATTGTGTCGGACGAAAATGTCACCAAATAATGAAAAAAACTCGCTGAAGAATACCAAGCTCATCCATCTCATTAAAAACACTATAAAATATGATTTGTCTTCTTATTTGGTCTGTAATATATTCGTTTCTGACTTCACACATTTTTATATAGTCCTGGGGGGCGATGAAGTTGTATAAATTACTGTAGGGGGGCGATGGTACAAACAAGTTTGGAAACCACTGGTATAGCTGACGGGTACAGCTTAAGTTTGCCAAACATATATCCAACAAAATGGTAATTGCCACATCATCCTAAGATAAACCCAAAGAAACCGGAAAACTAAGAAACTGCAAAGTCTTGTCTTAGACCACATGTCTAATCGCACAGTTTGTATTGGAGCACATTGAGCGATGAGTTTGGGTGTAACATTGGTATCCCCGTTCGAGAGTTTATTGGCACGGTATTTTGTCCGCATAAAGCTCGTTATTTCATCCCCCTTGGATTTTGGGCACCTGTCGCGTTAACTGCTAAGTTGTTGCTGCAGAATTTATGCCGTAGGAAGATCGGCTAGGACGACTTTATTTGAACATGATGCAAATAGTTGGGCCAATTGGTTGAGCCTAATTGCAACTATGGGAAAACCTAGTTTTTTTGGTGTCCTAAAAACCGTTTAACTTTGGTCACGTCAATCGGATTGACGTACATATTTTGCAGAACAACGAACATCGAACTACGGATACAGCGCAGTTGCCTATTTGCGCCTGAGTGGTGATCATGTCCTGTTCACATATATTGCGACAATGGTAGCAATTTTGTACGTGCTTGTCGCGAATTGAAAGAATCAATTAGCAAATGGAACGAGCAAAGTACTGCAAACTATCTACGTCAACGTGACATAGAATTTAATTTTAATCTCCCATACGCCAGTCATATGGGTGGCGTTTTCGAAAGAATGATTAAATCAACTAAACGATTTCTATCTGTATTATTGACATGTCAGTCAAAGTTGGAGACACTACTAGTTGAAGTAGAATCGATACTGAACTCCAGGCCAATAACTCCAGTGATAATGGACCACTCGAATCGTTGACTACTTGTTAGATCTACTACTTGTTAGATCATCACCAAATGTATCTATCACCTGGTGTGTTCAGCGTGATTGCTACGTTCGGCAGCGATGGCGCCAGGTACAATATCTGGCTGATGAATGCTGGCGTCGATGGATGAAAGAGTAGGCTACCTGCCAACAGTAACGCAAAGATACAAATGGACGAAAGAACGTGACGATTTCAAAGTCAACGATATATATATGCTTCCGTTTGTCGATGAATCAATTCCTCGCGGTCGATGGACTGTTGGAAGGGTTATAAATACCTTCCCAGACAAATATGAGCTCGTACGCTCAGTGCTAGTGAAAACTGGCACAAATGTTGTCAAATGACCCATTACTAAACTGTGTCGATTTCTAGAAGACTAAAAATAGTGCGTCGAATTAATGTTTCATTTACAACGTTCAATATGTTAGAATATATTTCCTGGGTCATATATTCGGGTGAGGGTATGTTACGATGTAAACGTAAGTCGATTACAAATTTGTCGTACATTTTGCCTCTGTATGCGGTGCATCGTGCGCTGTCTTGTAACCAATCATTGTAGACCCAATATAACCCTTTTTTTGTGTGTAGTGTAAATTAGTAATCTGTTGTCTGGTTTAGCGTTTTCCTTTCGGTAATTTTCGCATCCCGTATTCGTCGTGTAAGAGTCGCAGATATTTGTCCGTGTTGTGGACTGATTACTTATCTGTTATATATATATATATAAATATTGTAATTGTATCAGCCAACCGGATCGGAAAACGTTTGGTAAGAATTTTGCCTTTTGTTCATATTGTTGATATATGCTTTGTGACTTAAGTTAATCAATTGTGTTTTATTAATTTAAGAAAACCGCTGTTCTTTGCCAAGTGTATAAAGAAGAAGCTGAGTTATGCGTGTGTCTTATTTGTGGATAAAGGGGCTGAAAGTGGCGCGTTCGATACGTTTTCATTGTGTCTCGTCTATATAGATTCCGGGCCACCAAAAGACGTGACACCGACCACTGACAAATTTAAATTTGATGTTTCAAAGATGTCTTTTAACTTTCGTTCAACAAGCCCGCCACAGGTATGTGTATTAAAATTTGAAGTTATTTCTGTTTTTGGCTTATAGGGGAATACTAACTAACTATACTAGGGGGATTTGTGAATAACATTAGGCCAAAAAGTTGCAATATATTTAACTTGCAATTGTAAAAAAAATCGGCAAGATTGTCAAGTTTCGAAAGATAGCCAGCCTAAAATGCAAATAAGTTTTATATAATTCATTCATTGTTTCGTATTGATCAGAACTTACATTGTATTGTAAGAAAGTGTTTGTTATTCTCGTGTATTACTCTATATAAAAGTATCAATATAGTCATATCGATTATTTTGAAAAACATAGGTTTGAGAAAATGTTGCCTCTTCCTTATTATCTCATCAAACATACATCTCATTTGTTTGATGTTTTTGACTAATAATTATCTCTTGGTCGAAAAAAAAACATATATATATATATATCAGATTGAAAAATAACGAACTATAATTTCTCATACAAGTTTTAAAATTATTTGTCTTGCTATGTCAAACATTTCAGCAACTATTTTTATATACTATGTAATTAAAGAGTACTGCTGCACACTAACAAAAATGTATTTCTGTAACGTTTTGTCTGATTAAAATCAGATATCTTCAGACAAGCAGTTTACAACCATGACAATAAAAGAACATCAATCGTGCGGTTTATAAACGGCGACACAGGAAATTTGTTTGAAAATTAAATTCTCAGATTACTTGTGACCAAACAATAAATAAACAATTGTTTATATTTAGAAACAGACTGCGACGTAAAAATACGTTCGGTTCTTGGCGTGATTTAGTTGTTTTGCCTGTATTTGATCTCACAATAAATTTCGCTAGAACACTTTTCAAAGTGATCTAGGCTGGCTCATAGTCGGTCCTTTTACATTAATTGTTTGAAAGGCGTTGAAGTCTTTTGAATCAATATTGCTTCTAAATTCTTTTCTTGTGAATTGTGATAGTTGTCGAGTCCGGAAATGGCAGTATCTATTCAGATACAGAAGTCGCGCGAAAAGGCTATAACTATCAGTAGAGGTTGTGCGAGACTAACTCCCAACTCTTGAAATGGATAGTATAGTATTTTTATTCCTGCCACAGCATCCTTGCCCATATGCATACAAATCCACTAACGCAAAGGCATTGAAGAAGGATTGAGAGTTAGCCTTGCGCAACCACTACTGATAGTTATATTTTTAAATAATTTTTTTTTTTTTCTCAGAGCGGAAACAAGTTTCGATTAGAGTCTGCTATTAGCGGAACTTCACAGAAAACTACAGAAATTCCAGGTATTTTATATGAACAAATGATATTTTCATTGATGTTAAGTGCTTCTCTAGATAAGGATTGTCAGTGACCATTATTCTCCTCAATTATCAAACTGCTTGCTGAAATTCATTGAACGACCATAACTTCCTATGGAATCAAGCACTGCGAAAGTTCTGATTACTTGTGCTTGAAGGAAAATTATCTGACAGATTTGTGTATCTATTTGATCTACGAGTTTACAATGGATTTGTAGCTTGGGCACGATCAAATAATAAATGAAAGGTAATAAAATTTGTCATAATTTTTAACATTGCCATTAATCAGAAAAATTCCATTGCTCGCCTAGTAAGTTCCCCCCTATATATGTCTATTTCTTCCTTTTTCCTTGGCTATTTTGTCTTTCATTTTCTATCATTATGTTCTATTTGTGTTTCCTCTCACTAATCATGTTCTTTTTTTTTAGGGTGAAGACTTATCTTGATTTTTTTTTACCTATTCCAGATTCTATCAAAAAGATTACTGAGACAGAGTCTGATATTGTTACTTTGAATGAAGAACAAACTAATGCTGAAGTTGGACATCAATCCATATTTGGTGATGCAATGTTAAATCTTGCAAGCAGTGGTGGATTTGCTTCATTTGCCGATGTGGCCTCTGGTATTCAGAAAATTGGATTTGAAAAAAATCCTGCTGTGAGTACAAGTAATTATGGATGTGAAGCATTGTACTATTTTGATAATACTATGCAATTGCATTGACTGAGTATATTAAAAACACGGCGAAAAATGGCCGTGTCAACTGTGTATGTTAAAGTCTATAGGAGACAAATGGTGAACGTCATCTTTAATTGAAATAAACATACATGTTTGATGTCTACATAACTTTACTAAAATAGTAAACAAGCAACTACAGTTTATTTCATAGTTTCAGTTCCCTGGCGCAGGGCAAGTGATGTTTCAGCAGCGAAATATAGATAAAAATGATGATCATTATCCAAGTTTTTATGCACCTGACGCACAATTCAAACGTGTATTGGATAAACTTCCACTTTTGGTTGAAAAGAAAACTGGTGAAGAAGGAGAAGAGGTTTGCTAGAACTATTCTTTCATGTTCTATTATAGTTTGAAGTTAACATTAAATTGTGAGATTTTGAAAGTGCTGTATTTCTATGATAAAAGTAATGTACAATTGTTTAATAATACCATTTAGTTGTTTCAATTACCTAGTTGCAATTGCAAAAATGAGTTCTGAATGCATTCATATTTGTTTTACTCGGCATGATTAGTTCTTGATTGATTCATATTGAGCAATTATCACCAGACAATTTTTCTAAACATATTTTAACTTAATTAACTGTTCTGCTTCAACAAATTCTCTTTTTTTGTCATTTGCGCTTATTTTGTTGTTGAACATGACCTAATTAGAAATATACTTCAAAATTTTGTTTTCAAAACCAATTTTGAGTTTTGTTTAAAGTAAAATACATTGGTTGTCATTCCCGATTTGCGATTTCCACCTTTCTTTTCTATTCTAATATTGTGATATTGTATTACAATAAAGTTTATTCATTTTATAACATTTTTTATTGCATGCCAGATTTTGTTCAAAGAAAGATGTAGATTATATCGGTACGATAAAGATACAAATCAATGGAAAGAAAGAGGAGTTGGTGACATTAAGATTCTATTCAATGATATACTTAATATGTATCGTGTGGTTATGAGAAGAGAACAGGTGATAAAAATGATTGTTACATTGGAACGCTGTTTTAGCCGATTTTTTATGAACTATCACGTTTAATATTTTTTAAGGTTTTAAAAGTTTGTGCCAATCATGTAATCAATGAAAAAACAGAACCAAAGTATCATTTGGGATCTTCAAAAACTTGTTCATATTTTACCTTGGATTATACAGGTACTGGAATATGATGCCTACTGTTTGATATTTCAGGAATTCCAATATAACATGTTTCATATTTTCTCTGGCAACACTTGAGTTTATTTGAATTGGTCAGTCAAACTTTGCCTTTAATGGTAAATTACTGTATTCTCGAAGAGCTTACTGTAATTCAAACTAACCCAACTCTGCTTTAATGAAATCTCTATTTAAAAAACAATATTCCAGTATTATTAAATAAAAAATGAATAATATGGTAACATTAAGGATTCCAAACAATAAGAACAAAATATAGTACAATTGAAAATATTATTCGTATACTTACTATTTCTAATCGTTTTATAGCTGGATCGAAACCTACAGCAGAGCAATTCGCATTCAGATTCAAAACTGAAGGAATGTGTAGAGCCTACATGGACAAAATAAAAGAAGTTAAAAAAGGTTTTGAAGATTGTTGTGTGACAGTATTTTATTAATAGTTACCAGTATACTAAATATTGAATTCGAATTTTCAAATCGTTATTGAAAATTTTTATATAAAAGCTTTCATGTTCCAATGAGTATAGAAGCAGATGATCATTGCACATTTTAAATTTAACACAAGTCTCAACTTCATTATGCTTCACACAATAGTTTTGATTCCTATCTTAGAAGACTACTGTTGATTTTGTGATATAACTATGATCTTAGGTACTGTTGTTTCTAAATACTATAATAAAATCTGTGGTAACGGATTGGACAAATTTACATTTGATGTATTTCAACCCTATGATTTGAATTTATTGATAATGATCCACTTATTTGCTATTGCAGGTAAAACCACCGTAACAGAATCAACTCCATCCACTGACAAACTTAAATTTGATGTTTCAAATGCGTCTTTTAGCTGTTGTTCAACAAGTCCGCCACAGGTATGTGTATTGAAATTCGAAGTTATTTATGTTTTTGGCTTATAGGGAAATACTAACTAACTATACTAGGGGAATTCGTGAATAACTTTAGGCCAAAGTTAGATTCATACAATTTTTTTTTCTCCATGCGCTAACGTTGCTTCTATAGTTCCAACATTTTCTCCACATATTAACCTCAACGTTCTATGGGATTAAGAGGTGATCATTTTACGATTTTTTTGTTTATTTTATATTGGTACTAGGGATATGTTAAGATGTTTGGCACTTAGGCTATAAAAGTTATTGTTCCTAGAGTTGCAATATGTTTAACTTGAAATAGTAAAAAAAATCGGCAAGATTGTCAAGTTTCGAAAGATAGCCAGCCTAAAACGCAAATAAGTTCAAAGGAATTTGTGTTAGGTTGCTTATATATTATATTCCTTTTTTCGTATTGATCAGAAGTTATATTGTATATTAAAAAATAGTGTTTGTTATTCTCGTTTATCAATATAGGCATATTGATTATCTTGGAAAACATTGGTTTGAGAAAATGTTGCTTCTTCCTTATTATCTCATCAAAACATACATCTCATTTATTTGATGTTTTTGGCTGATAATTATCTCTCGGTCGAAAAAAAAAAAATATATATATATTTATCAAATTGTATTCCATACAAGTTTAAAAAATATTTGTCTTGCTATGTCGATCATTTTAGCAACTATTTTTATATTCTATGCAATTCAAGAGTACTATTGCACACTAACACAAATGTATTTCTGTTACGTTTCGTCTGACCAAAATCAGACTTCTCAGACAGGCAGTTTACAACAATGACAAAAGAACAATCAATCGTGGCGTTTATACGGCGATAAAGAAAATTTGTTTGAAATTAAATTCTCAGAATACTTGTAATCAAACAATAAATAAACAATTGATAGGATAGGACCATCTCTCTTAACTGGTTCATTTTTATTTCTTGAATCATTGAATAATAAAGCTACATAAATAATACATAAATTGGCAAACGGCAATGATCTCTATTTTATTTATGCATTTGCATCCTTGAGTTCACCACTCGTTTGAGTCTGGGTGTCATTGCTGACTTCTCTCTCAGGAAAGCAAGCGTTTGAATTTATGTATGGGTTGTCGCCTCGTCATGCTGGAGCCACTGCTGGTCACCTATATCCATTTCTCATGGTGGTTGGAAATTTTGCGAAACTTCTGAGAAAATCATACGCCAACAGAAATTTTTTGAATGAATGAATTTTTTCATTTATTCCGTTTCCATTTTCCAGACAACCCTGAATTTTCAGAAGCGAACATACACCACTACCATTGAGTTTATACTTTCAAACCCATCTTCAGTCTTTCAGTGTTCTATCTTTTTGGGAACAGAATCAAATTGAAATATCCTCGCGTATATCATCGGGTTAAAAGTTTTTTTTATTGCTCTTGTCAAGCTCATTCTTGGTAGAGCGGTTATTTAGTGCAGAGATCGCACTTTTACATAGCAAGAGAGGTTCCCTTGACAGTGTCAGACGAGGAGCCTCAAAACTGTTTTTGACTGAAATGAAGCCAGATATTATCAAGCTAGTGGCATTTTACTAGGCTCAACAGAAGTCACGCGAAAAGGCTATTATAACTATCAGTAGAGGTTGTTCGAGACTAACTCCCAACTCTTGAAATGGATAGTATAGTATTTTTATTCCTGCTACAGCATCCTTGCCCATATGCATGCAGATCCACTAGCGCAAATGCATTGAAGGATTGAGAGTTAGTCTTGCGCAACCACTACTGATAGTTAGATTTTTAAATATTTGTTTTTTTTCCAGAGCGTAAACAAGTTTCGATTAAAGTCTGCTATTAGCGGAACTTCACAGAAAACTACAGAAATTCCAGGTATTTTATATGAACAAATGATATTTTCATTGATGTTAAGTGCTTCTCTAGATAAGAATTGTCAGGGACCATTGTTATCCTCAATTGTCAAACTGCTTGTTGAAATTCATTGAACGACCCTAACTTCCTATGGAATCAAGCACTGCGAAAGTTCTGGTTACTTGTGCTTGAAGGAAAATTATCTGATAGATTTGTGTATCTATTTGATCTACGAGTTTACAATGGATTTGTAGCTTGGGCACGATCAAATAATAAATGAAAGGTGATAAAATTTGTCATAATTTTTAACACTGCCATTGATCAGAAAAATTCCATTGCTCGTCTAGTAATTTCCCCCCTATATATGTTCATTTCTTCCTTTTTCCTTGGCTATTTCGTCTTTCATTTTCTACCATTATGTTCTATTTGTGTTTTCTCTCACTAATCATGTTCTTTTTTTAGGATGAAGACTATCTTGATTTTTCTTTACATATTATTCCAGGTTCTACCAAAAAGATTACTGAGACAGAGTCTGATATTGTTACTTTGAATGAAGAACAAACTAATGCTGAAGTTGGACATCAATCCATATTTGGTGATGCAATGTTAAATCTTGCAAGCAGTGGTGGATTTGCTTCATTTGCCGATGTGGCCTCTGGTATTCAGAAAATTGGATTTGAAAAAAATCCTGCTGTGAGTACAAGTAATTATGGATGTGAAGCATTGTACTATTTTGATAATACTATGCAATTGCATTGACTGAGTATATTAAAAACACGGCGAAAAATGGCCGTGTCAACTGTTTATGTTAAAGTCTATAAGAGACAAATGGTGAACGTCATCCTTAATTGAAATAAACATACATGTTTGATGTCTACATAACTTTACTAAAATAGTAAACAAGCAACTACAGTTTATTTCATAGTTTCAGTTTCCTGGCACAGGGCAAGTGATGTTTCAGCAGCGAAATATAGATGAAAATGATGATCATTATCCAAGTTCTTATGCACCTGACGCACAATTCAAACGTGTATTTGATAAACTTCCACTTTTGGTTGAAAAGAAAACTGGTGAAGAAGGAGAAGAGGTTTGCTAGAACTATTCTTTTATGTTCTATTATAGTTTGAAGTTAACATTAAATTGTAAGATTATGAAAGTGCTATATTTCTATGATAAAAGTAATGTACAATTGTTTAATAATACCATTTAGTTGTTTCAATTACTTAGTTGCAATTGCAAAAATGAGTTCTGAATGCATTCATATTTGTTTTGCTCGGCATGATTAGTTCTTGATTGATTCATATTGAGAAATTATCACCAGACAATTAGTCTAAACATATTTTAACTTAATTTACTGTTCTGCTTTAACAAATTCTTTTTTTTGTCATTTGCGCTTATTTTGTTGTTGAACAAAACCTAATTAGAAATATACTTCAAAATTTTGTTTTCAAAACCAATTTTGAGTTTTGTTCAAACTAAAATACATTGGATGTCATTCCCGATTTATGATTTCCACCTTTCTTTTCTATTCTGATATTGTGATATTGTATTACAATAAAGTTTATTCATTTTATAACATTTTTTATTGCATGCCAGATTTTGTTCAAAGAAAGATGTAGATTATATCGGTACGATAAAGATACAAATCAATGGAAAGAAAGAGGAGTTGGTGACATTAAGATTCTATTCAATGATATACTTAATATGTATCGTGTGGTTATGAGAAGAGAACAGGTGATAAAAATGATTGTTACATTGGAACGCTGTTTTAGCCGATTTTTTATGAACTATCACGTTTAATATTTTTTAAGGTTTTAAAAGTTTGTGCCAATCATGTAATCAATGAAAAAACAGAACCAAAGTATCATTTGGGATCTTCAAAAACTTGTTCATATTTTACCTTGGATTATACAGGTACTGGAATATGATGCCTACTGTTTGATATTTCAGGAATTCCAATATAACATGTTTCATATTTTCTCTGGCAACACTTGAGTTTATTTGAATTGGTGAGTCAAACTTTGCCTTTATTGGTAAATTACTGTATTCTCGAAGAGCTTACTGTAATTCAAACTAACCCAACTCTGCTTTAATGAAATCTCTATTTAAAAAACAATATTCCAGTATTATTAAATAAAAAATGAATAATATGGTAACATTAAGGATTCCAAACAATAAGAACAAAATATAGTACAATTGAAAATATTATTCGTATACTTACTATTTCTAATCGTTTTATAGCTGGATCAAAACCTACAGCAGAGCAATTCGCATTCAGATTCAAAACTGAAGGAATGTGTAGAGCCTACATGGACAAAATAAAAGAAGTTAAAAAAGGTTTTGAAGATTGTTGTGTGACAGTATATTATTAATAGTTACCAGTATACTAAATATTGAATTCGAATTTTCAAATCGTTATTGAAAATTTTTATATAAAAGCTTTCATGTTCCAATGAGTATAGATGCAGATGATCATTGCACATTTTAAATTTAACACAAGTCTCAACTTCATTATGCTTCACACAATAGTTTTGATTCCTATCTTAGAAGACTACTGTTGATTTTGTGATATAACTATGATCTTAGGTACTGTTGTTTCTAAAAACTATAATAAAATCTGTGGTAACGGATTGGACAAATTTACATTTGATGTATTTCAACCCTATGATTTGAATTTATTGATAATGATCCACTTATTTGCTATTGCAGGTAAAACCACCGTATCAGAATCAACTCCATCCACTGACAAACTTAAATTTGATGTTTCAAATGTGTCTTTTAGGTTTTGTTCACCAAGTCCGCCACAGGTATGTGTATTAAAATTTGAAGTTATCTCTGTTTTTGGCTCATAGGGAAATACTAACTAACTATACTAGGGGAATTTGTGAATAACTTTAGGCCAAAGTTAGTTTCATACAATTTTTTTTTCTCTATGCGCTAACGTTGCTTCTATAGTTCCAACATTTTCTCCACATATTAACCTCAACGTTCTATGGGATTAAGAGGTGATCATTTTACGATTTTTTTGTTTATTTTATATTAGTACTAGGGATATGTTAAGATGTTTGGCACTTAGGCTATAAAAGTTATTGTTCCTAGAGTTGCAATATGTTTAACTTGAAATAGTAAAAAAAATCGGCAAGATTGTCAAGTTTCGAAAGATAGCCAGCCTAAAACGCAAATAAGTTCAAAGGAATTTGTGTTAGGGGTGGCTTATATATTATATTCCTTTTTTCGTATTGATCAGAAGTTATATTGTATTTTAAAAAATAGTGTTTGTTATTCTCGTGTATCAATATAGGCATATCGATTATCTTGAAAAACATTGGTTTGAGAAAATGTTGCTTCTTCCTTATTATCTCATCAAAACATACATCTCATTTATTTGATGTTTTTGGCTGATAATTATCTCTCGGTCGAAAAAAAAAATATATATATATATTTATCACATTGTATTCCATACAAGTTTAAAAAATATTTGTCTTGCTATGTCGATCATTTTAGCAACTATTTTTATATTCTATGCAATTCAAGAGTACTATTGCACACTAACACAAATGTATTTCTGTTACGTTTCGTCTGACCAAAATCAGACTTCTCAGACAGGCAGTTTACAACAATGACAAAAGAACAATCAATCGTGGCGTTTATACGGCGATAAAGAAAATTTGTTTGAAATTAAATTCTCAGAATACTTGTAACCAAACAATAAATAAACAATTGATAGGATAGGACCATCTCTCTTAACTGGTTCATTTTTATTTCTTGAATCATTGAATAATAAAGCTACATAAATAATACATAAATTGGCAAACGGCAAAGATCTCTATTTTATTTATGCAATTGCATCCTTGAGTTCACCACTCGTTTGAGTCTGGGTGTCATTGCTGACTTCTCTCTCGGGAAAGCAAGCGTTTGAATTTATGTATGGGTTGTCGCCTCGTCATGCTGGAGCAACTGCTGGTCACCTATATCCATTTCTCATGGTGGTTGGAAATTTTGCGAAACTTCTGAGAAAATCATACGCCAACAGAAATTTTTTGAATGAATGAATTTTTTCATTTATTCCGTTTCCATTTTCCAGATAACCCTGAATTTCCAGAAGCGAACATACACCACTACCATTGAGTTTATTCTTTCAAACCCATCTTCAGTCTTTCAGTGTTCTATCTTTTTGGGAACAGAATCAAATTGAAATATCCTCGCGTATATCATCGGGTTAAAAGTTTTTTTTATTGCTCTTGCCAAGCTCATTCTTGGTAGAGCGTGTATTTAGTTCAGAGATCGCACTTTTACATAGCAAGAGAGGTTCCCTTGACAGTGTCAGACGAGGAGCCTCAAAACTGTTTTTGACTGAAATGAAGCCAGATATTATCAAGCTAGTGGCATTTTACTAGGCTCAACAGAAGTCACGCAAAAAGGCTATTATAACTATCAGTAGAGGTTGTACGAGACTAACCCCCAACTCTTGAAATGGATAGTATAGTATTTTTATTCCTGCTACAGCATCCTTGCCCATATGCATGCAGATCCACTAGCGCAAATGCATTGAAGAATTGAGAGTTAGTCTTGCGCAACCACTACTGATAGTTAGATTTTTAAATATTTGTTTTTTTTTCCAGAGCGTAAACAAGTTTCGATTAAAGTCTGCTATTAGCGGAACTTCACAGAAAACTACAGAAATTCCAGGTATTTTATATGAACAAATGATATTTTCATTGATGTTAAGTGCTTCTCTAGATAAGAATTGTCAGTCACCATTGTTATCCTCAACTGTCAAACTGCTTGTTGAAATTCATTGAACGACCCTAACTTCCTATGGAATCAAGCACTGCGAAAGTTCTGGTTACTTGTGCTTGAAGGAAAATTATCTGACAGATTTGTGTATCTATTTGATCTACGAGTTTACAATGGATTTGTAGCTTGGGCACGATCAAATAATAAATGAAAGGTGATAAAATTTGTCATAATTTTTAACACTGCCATTGATCAGAAAAATTCCATTGCTCGTCTAGTAATTTCCCCCCTATATATGTTCATTTCTTCCTTTTTCCTTGGCTATTTCGTCTTTCATTTTCTACCATTATGTTCTATTTGTGTTTCCTCTCACTAATCATGTTCTTTTTTTAGGATGAAGACTATCTTGATTTTTCTTTACATATTATTCCAGGTTCTACCAAAAAGATTACTGAGACCGAGTCTGATATTGTTACTTTGAATGAAGAACAAACTAATGCTGAAGTTGGAAAGCAATCCATATTTGGTGATGCAATGTTAAATCTTGCAAGCAGTGGTGGATTTGCTTCATTTGCCGATATGGCTTCTGGTGTTCAGAATGTTGGATTTAAAAAAGATCCTGCTGTGAGTACAAGTAATTATGGATGTGAAGCATTGTAATATTTTGTTAATACTATGCAATTGCATTGACCGAGTACTGTATATTATAAACACGGCGAAAATGGCTGTGTCAACTGTGTAAGTCAACGGCTATAAGACAGACAAATGGTCAACGTCATCATTATTTGAAATGCAAATACATGTTTGATGTCTACATAACTTTACTAAAATAGTAAGCATATTAAACTACAGTTTATTTCATAGTTTCAGTTTCATGGCGCAGGGCAAGTAATGTTTCAGCAGCAAAGTAGAGATGAAAATGATGATCATGATCTAAGTTCTTATGCATCTGACACACAATTCAAACCCGTATTGGATAAACTTCCACTTTTGGTTGAAAAGAAAACTGGTGAAGAAGGAGAAGAAGTTAGCTAAAACTATTGTTTATGTTTTATTAAAGGTTGAAGTTAAATTTAATTTGTAAGATTTTGAAAGTGCTATATTTCTATGATAAATGTAATGTACAATTGTTTTATAGTACCATTTAGTTGTTCCAATTGCTTAGTTGCAATTGCAAAAATGAGTTTTGAATGTATTCATATTTGTTATGTCCGACATGGTTAGTTCTTGATGGATCGATATTGAGCAATTACCACAAGACGTTTAGTCTAAACACATATTTAACGTAATAAACTCTTCTGCTTTAACAAATTATTTTTTTTTTTCATTTGCGCTTATTTTTTGTTGAACATAACCTAATTAGAAATATATTGCCACATTATGTATTCAAATCCATTTTTGAGTTGTATTCATTAAAGTAAAATACATTGGTGTCATTCCTGAGTCATGATATACAACTTTCTCTTTTAATCCGATATCGAGTGATATTGTATTACTGTGAATTTCATAACATTTTTTATTGTATGCCAGATTTTGTTCAAAGAAAGATGTATACTATATCGGTACGATAAAGATACAAATCTATGGAAAGAGAGAGGAGTTGGTGACATAAAAATTCTATTCAATGATATACATAATATGTATCGTGTGGTTATGAGAAGAGAACAGGTGATAGAAATGATTGTCAAATGGGAACGTTGTTTAGTCGATTTTTTATGAACTAATGCGTTTGATTTTGTTTGCTTTTTCAAGGTTTTAAAAATTTGTGCCAATCATGTAATCGATGAAAAAACAGAACCAAAGTATCATTTGGGATCCTCAAAAACTTGTTCATATTTCACCTTGGATTATACAGGTACTGGAATATTATGCCTTCTGTTCGATATTTTAATAATTCCATCCATCATCTCAGTTTGTTATAACATATTTGCATTTTCTCTGGTATTATTAAGTTTATTTGAATGGGTCAGTGAAAACCTTGCCTTTATTGTTAAATTAATGTAGTAAACTAATAGTTGACTGAAATTCAAACTGACCTGAACTCTGCTTTAATCAAATCATAAGATAGGAAATTAATAACATGAAAACAATTGGGATTCCAAATAATAATATCTTATATAGTATAATTAGAAGTAATTTTTGTGTGCAAAATATTTCTAATCATTTTATAGATGGGCCGAACCCTACACCGGAGCAATTTGCATTTAGATTCAAAATTGAAGATATGTGTAAAGCCTACATGGACAAAATTGAGGATGTGAAAAAACTTCAACATAACGAACCTTCTTGTTAACTAATGTTTTCTAGTGCTATCAAATATTCACTCATGGCAGTGTTTTCATACCTAGTGCTTTTACTTTAACGCGAAATGTGACTATATTAATGTGTGATTACAAGTTCACATCAATTTTTACGTAATTTTTCTGATAATCAATGTAGTTGGTCAACTAGATCGAACATTTCAATGATAGTAGAAGAAATGATGCCTCATGGCCCCATCGCCCCTTTATTTAAGTTTTGACATTTTATAGCATTTCTAGAGAAGTTTTTATGCAAAAAATACTGAAATGAAAAATAATTGGAAATTTTGTGAAATGCTTAATCTGTTTTAATGTAATTACAAGATTTGAGGAGAAAATTGCATTTAATTGAATTGCGGAGGACTGGAGGCAGGCACAATGTAGAATACGGTACTTTATTTCGCTATTCTTTTATCCCAAACAAAAACGTTTTAATTTTAATGATATGAGTACATATGCTAATTCAGTTATGAATTGTTTAAGAAACTCGTCATTCTAGAATACGTGTGAAACGTGTGGCAAATCATGCATTAAAGGATAAAGATAAACTTCAATACCACTGAAAATTTTTAAAAAGATTATTCAAATGAATCACACTTTTAAATATTTATAGTATCGTTAAAAGCACGGTCCATAAATAAGCTCCTCAAAACTAATCAAAACTAATTTTATACCCGACAAAGCGCTATTTTTACTTTTCAAATCCCAAAAATACACAACATATGGCAACAAGAGAATTCATGAAGCGCTATTTCATGAGGTAATGTGACAAAGTATTCTGGATTGAAATATGAGATTTAGCCGTCAAATGCTAAAAATAAAATAACAAAACGCATATTCGTTTCTAACCCACACTCTAAACTTTTACTTTTTCCATTTCCTTTCCATCACTTCGTCACATATTTTAGAATTTCACTATATATTCATAGGTTTAATTTTCACTTGTGTTTCGTGTCATTTTACAATTTTTAATGTTTTTTCTTGTTAAATTTTAGAACCTATGGACACGATCATTATGTCCACAACCCCATTATGTCCAACTCCGACTCTCCAGAAGTGTGTGTACCAATATGGAAGTAACTAATTTTGTTCGCCTATATTCACTTGGCTAACACAGACAGTCCCCGAACTCGTAATCGAAATAAAGTAAGGAAAATTGGAATAAAATTATGGCCTAACCCTAACCTGGTAAGTACCGAAACTTCTTCTTATTCGAAAAAATCATTTATGTAACACGTCGCCGTAAATTAGTTTACGAGATAAAATGGTCGTTTGGATTATTTTTTATATATAAAAGTAAAATATTGTGTGTTATCATAGCTTAGTGAAATCAACATAGCTGATCAATTAATTTCATGGATCCACTTCGTAAGTTCTTGTGGGTTAGAATCAACTTAGTCAATCGTATAAAAAATTTCGTCGATTGTTCTTGTGTGTTGTTATCAATCAACTTCGTAACATCCTGTGTGTTATATTCAACTTCGTCGATTGTTATTCCATTATTCTGTGTTTTGTTTTCTCTTCTGACAATACAACAATTCATCTGTGTGTCGTCTGATGATACGATAATCGAAAGGCAGCCTAAAAATCGCGGGAACCAGGCATAATAGATAATAGTTGAAATATGTTCAATTATTTGTATGAAAATATATAATCCCTATACATAAAGTATTACGATTTCAAGACATTTATGGCCAATGTCGTCGTGTTTCTACTGTCTGGGTTTATCGACTAACTAAACAAAAGAAGGCACATAAATTTCGTAGTTGAAATCAAATCATAAGCCGTAGAAAGCCAGCGATGGATTTTATATTTCGATCGGTATATAAACCATGAACGTTCTACTCTGCAGCATTTTAGACAACTCTGACTTGTGGTATTAGGAAATATCGGTAAATATTTGAATAAATGCAATATCAACCTCGGCGGGTATTTAAAATTATGTCGTATATCTCAGTGCTGCTGCTCCAGAACCTGTTGTATTTAATTGCAGTTAATAGTTAACTATTAACGTTTGAGTTTTACTCTCGTTTAATCAGGTGTGACGTATGCGTATTTTATCTCATTTGATTTCATGTCCTGAATTGAAGGAAAAACTTTATGCTTAATGCAGTACGGTACTGTTACTTTATTATACAAGCAGAAACGCTGCATAATAGTAAAATATAAATTTCAGTGGTAAAACCAAACATAAACAGAACATGGTGGATCATCTACCGCCTTTAATTGAGAATGAAAAATCGTATGCTAATTGGAAAAAGGCAATAAAGCTATGGTCGATCGCGACGAATGTTCCAAAGTCAAATCAAGCCATTGTAGTCGCTCTGAGTTTGCAAGATAAAGCAAGAGAATTAGCATTAGAAATTGAAGAATCAGTTCTTCGTAGTGAGAATGGAATCAGAGAATTATTGAAAAAACTTGACATTACTTATAAAGAATTAAAAGCTGATTGTTTTTCCGCATTTCTTGATTTTGATTCTTGTGTGAGATGGCCTTCAGAAGCAATGGCAGCGTATATTACCAGGTTCGAAAATCGCCATTCGAGACTCAAAATGTTTCAGACATCTATTTCTGATGATATGTTGGGCTTGAAACTTCTTGCTGGTGCGAGATTGTCTACCAGTGAATCGCAGAAAATATTGAATAACGATAATACGGAATGGAGTATGTCAACAATATCGCGAATCCTACGCGATATATCTGGTTCGGCAAATGTATTTGATTTTACGATACCAAACTCATGGTCTTCAAGTTTTCCCACGCATGTTGATACAGGTAATTTGTTTGTATGTTAATTGACTTCATATCTATTTATTTATTATGCTGGCAGCTATCTCAATATGGTATAAAAATTGAAATTACAAAAATTAACATATGTCAGTATATATATTTAGTTATGTTTTGGCATAAACTAAACATTTCTGAGTTTATCCTGTTGGTATTTGAACCAAATATCTGGATATACCAATTATTCAAATATTTCTCTATTGATTCGGAGAAATGCATGTATGTCATGGTAAAATGAGAATATTTCATAAAACTTGCTATACATTCACTTTTGAATATGTTTAGGATACTATTTTATAAAAATGAAGCAAGTCGTAGGTGAATTCTCACTCGTAACTCTCACTTCTAAATTGATATTAATAAATTCGATTTTGCTTTCCAAAGCGCCATTATATGTACTAATGAAAATGATTGTGTCAGGAGTTTGAGCAGACAGCCCTAAATTAGCAAATAACACATTTCGCCTTTTGCGTCGCTCTCTTATTGAATTACAATCAACAATTACACATTCTTATTTTCTGTGGATTCGACAATCGCTATTGATGGTTTTTAAACGAATAATAGCTATTTTGTTATGATTTATTTTTAAGATACATTTATTTGATGCTGCTATAGTTGGCAATTCTTTATTATTATCTCAATTATCACGAAGATGGGCGTCTGTATCAGCGCCGACTAAAAAAGATAACATATAAGTCAATAGTAGAAATTTCGCATACAAATTTCCTTCTATACGTGGGGTTTACGACCCATATTTATCAAAATTTCCGCGACGGGACACGAGCGCGGCGGCGTCTTGCAGCAGTCAACGCGGCGGTCAATCAGAACGCATTGTTACATAACAAAATATACTTTCGACGGGGAATAGTAGGTAGGACCTGTTTAAACTAATTTAAACCAACCGCTCAGCGAATGATTGTCCCGAAAGCAATAGTATTTATGTGCACTGTTTTGAATTATATGGTCTTATATTATCTTACTGAATGTTTAATTTACGGCCAATATACGCGAACAACAGCATCACTTTCGATATTTATTTCGGAGCTATGTAAAAGTATTGGACTCTGGACTTGGACACGAGTCCAGCGCAAATACTCGGGATTCGGCCGAGCCGAACCTTTTTGGATTCGTCGCACCCCTACCAACTAGCTTATTCATCAGCAATATTGAGCATCAAAAATAGTGATGAATTTTTTATTTGGGGCATATTGTTGAATATACCGCAATTGTTTTATTATGTATTTATGTCATAACTTCCTGTCTAGCTACAGCTTATTCATCAGCAATATTGAGCATCAAAAATAGTGATGAATTTTTTATTTGGGGCAAATTATTGAATATACCGCAATTGTTTTACTATATATTTGTGTCATAACTTCCTGTCTAGCTACTGATTGTTTGTGATATGATATTACGTAATGAATTTTACGGTGCATCATTGACGAACTTTATTTATAACAACCCGTAGGTGATAGTGATGTGATTTGTATCGGGGAGATTCTTCCATCTGAAGAACTTCAGAAAAAGGCTGAAAATCTCATGTTACCGAAACATTTTTATAATTTTCTTAAAGAAGGAGAAGAAAATGAAACTGGGGATGATTCAGAAACAGGAGATGAAAAGTCTCAACCAAAAGGTGACCTCAAAAATTATCTTTCAATTTATACCTTGATTTGGAGGAATGAGGATTGAATCAGTATTTTTAACCATATTGAAGTAATTGTATTTAAATAGTTTGTTCTTCCCAGATTAATTTTCATATATATTTCTGAATAATATTTAGGGTTAAGATTGTATCATAGTATCATGGCGAAAGTTTTTACTGATTGTTTTTTTTACTGAAATTTTTACTGATTTGCATCCTGATGGATTTCTTAATATATGATTTATTACTTTTTTTTCATATACCTTCGTCCAGTCAATAAAATGATTCTGATTTATTACAGGAAAAGAAAAGTCATCAATCTTTCAAGCACTCACCACTTCTGTGTCAACTACGACTACTGATAAGTCAACATTTGGTTAGTGTTTTTCACACTTTTGTGAAATTTCAGAAATTTTTATTTTAGTTTGTATTATAGAGTTCATGTACAATGAAAATTACATTCTTCATCAAACTTTCCTATTACAGGATTCTCTGCTGGTGCAACATCATTTGGTGATTTGATTAAATCTAACACAGGTGATGGATTCGCCTTCGGTAATAAGTCAGGTGGATGGATAGGAATGCCAGAGCAAAAGCCATTGTTTGCCAGCCTGACTCAAGGTGGTGATGATGACGACGGAACACACCCAGTATGTACATTTACACTATAATATTTTAACCTGATACAGCATCATTTTTGTTATTTATTGATTGGCCTTTTCAATTATTTTTGCTTTTTCAATGAGTTTGTACCTATTTAGAGTGAAGAAAATGCTGATATTCATTTTGAACCGATAGCAAGACTCCCTGAAAAAGTTGAAATAATTACAGGAGAAGAAGATGAAGAAGAATTATATTCACAACGATGCAAATTATATAGATTTAATAAAGTAAGAGCAACAAATAGGTTCATGACTCAAGGTCCGCACTTGATAAGAGACGTCTATCGAATTTTTCAATTAATTCTTTCAATATAAAATAACATGATACTAATTTGTTTTATTATTTACATTTTTCATGGCACGAAAAGTTTTTCTTTTTTCGTGACCAAAATTTCAATACTTCACATTTTTGCAGCCAACTAATGAATGGAAAGAAAGAGGCACTGGGGAAATAAAATTGAAGAGACACAATAAAAATGGTCGTATAAGAATTGTCATGAGACGAGAGCAAATCTTTAAGGTGATTTATCTGCTGTTTATAATAATTTTTTTTAGGAGACATCAATTTCATACCTTCTTGTTTAGGTCTGTGCGAATCATTATATTCGACCAGGCATGACGATGGATAAAAGCAAGACCTCTGACAGAGCATGGACTTGGACGGCAATGGATTTTGCTGACAATAAAGAACCAACTATGGAGATATTTACTGTCAGATTCAAAAATACAGATCAAGCTGAGGAATTCAAAGCAAAATTTGATGAATGTCAAGTGAGTTTAGATCCGAAAAGTCTGTATATTGTCAGATTGTCAAAATTGAAATTTTCTTCTCAATAAGGATGGGCCAATTTCAATATTAGCATTTGAAAAGTCTTACATCTCTTACTCAACAATTAAATTCAAAATTTAACTCATGATTTTCAAATGAATGATTACATTATATGACTTTGTGTGATATGTTTCGCTCATTGTTCAGTAAATTCTAAGTTGGATCATTAAGACAAAATTTTTTTCAGATGATGTTTTTAGATGTGGATCCTATGACACCATGCAAAGCGAGTTCAATGAGAAGTAAAGAACTGTCGGACAAAGAAGAAAAAATGAAAAATGAGTTGAAATTTTTCAAGGACAAGTTTTCCGAACAAACAAATATCCAGAAAGAGAACAGTGGTAAGTTGTGAAATATTGGAATCATGCTTAGTATGAAAAACATGATTTTACACTTTCTTCGATGACCTATCCACCAAAACTTTCCATCATTAAATATCATTTAGCATATCTCCAAAGTTATTATATGCATGTAATATAATTCACATTGCCCGGGAAACACTACCTTTTGTGAGAAAGTGACATACTCAATTTGAAATTATACACTATTTCACTTCACAGAGTCTAGCCCAACTGAATCTGGACCTTTGATGGTTGGATCCCTCACTCCACTCGTTCAACAGCACACTCAAAGTTTGAGAGAAAAGTCTGAAGATATTGTCAAGAGATCTGATGACTCAATACTAGAGTATGTTTTACAATATTTTTTTAATTTAATATTGCTTAAGTATCTGGAATTAGTTTTCCATCTTTTAAAATAAACTATTTCTGTTAGTTTGGCTTCAATAAAAAAAAGAAGTTCTAATATATCAAGGTTCAAATATGATGATTGTTCCAGATGCTTGTTTTAAGCAACACTGTAAACATTACTTTGAATTTCATTTGTAAAATTCTAACTCTTTAGCACACCACGCAAGCAAACTGAAAACTCCTTTGCATCACGAGGCAATAAATTTTCATTCCAACCTAAAGCTGATAATAATCGACAAACTCCCAGCAGACAACACACTACAAGTGCAGGTTCTGATGATCCGCAGGCTGAAAGTGATATTCAATTTGAACCAATTTATCAACTACCTGATCATGTGGAAATAATTACTGGAGAAGAAGATGAACAAGTAAGTGTTACAGCAGAATATTATATACAAAAATGGTATTTTTAACAGCCTAATGCGCTAACTCATGTATATTTTTTGTGATTGCATTTATAAAATTTTGATTTATGATAGCATTTTTATAGTTTATTCGACTACTTTTTAGTATATTATTCATGCAATTCAGATCCTGTTTGGAAATCGAGCAAAATTATACATGTTTCATAAGGAGGCAAAACAATGGAAAGAACGAGGTGTTGGAGACATTAAAATTTTACAACATCTTTCAACTTTCAAAGTTCGAGTTTTAATGAGAAGAGAACAGGTAGATATTCTGAGTTTATATTCTATTATTCCTTTTGATATTCTAATTGGCGATCAATTTAGAAAACAGATTATTATTTCAAATATTTTCCTAACACATACTTTAGGATTTTAGAATCATTTTTCTGTAATATTTTATACGTTCTAAGTCGCAATCCACCAAACACTATCACCAAAACATGTTGTACTTTTGCTTGAGTTATCAGTTGTATTTAACTGATAACTTGGTTTGCATTGGTTAATTCACCTATGCTTTATATATTTAAGTGCCCAAAAACTGATGACGTCACTAGGTTCACCTCTTCTTCGGTCAAATAAAAAAAGAAATACGAGATCGAATAAATATAAGAGAAGCTCTCTTGTTTTCACTGTGGCACTCAATGATAAACATTAAAAATCTGACCTTGGCACGGAATGTGTTGAAATGCTTCCATCATTTGACATTATTTCCCTTATGATATTGATGCACTCTTTTTATTTATTTTTGCCTTGAATTCAATTTATATTTACTTATGCCCAGGTTTTGAAAGTTTGCTTGAATCATTATGTTCAACCTGAAATCAAACTTAGTTTTAAAGAACAGACGTCGGCTAAAACTTTGCTGTGGACAGCAACAGATTTTTCTGATTCTGAAAAATCGGCTGGAGAGGTAAGATAAACCTGATTGAATCGATAATTTTAACGTTTGCTAAAGACTTTCACATTGTTTGGTTTATTTCATTGAACAAAATTGAAACATGTCATGATTATAACATCCTGATTATGCAAATTCTTTATCTGAATCTTTCATGTTCAAACATTTGTACCATGATGAGTATTATCAGGGGCGGACACTTTCCATAATTTGGGGGGGGGGGGGGGGGCGAACTTGGATCGCCTACCGAAAAACACCGCGCCGTGTATCGTCACGTAACAATAACCTGTCGATGTCATTCTCTAAGTATTAGCATGTCATTTTGCTACTCATATATCGATTACCTAGGCTGCTTTGCTCGGACATGGAACTTGAGCGTCACTGAACCAATTTCTTGAATTCCGCGAGAATTAGCCCACGGCTCTTGCTAACAAACAGAAAATAACAAATTTGAGGTCGGAACTTGCCATTGCCGTCTGCAACAAGCACCGCGATTACGCGCTCGTTAAAAGAGCCGCCTATTTAAGGATATAATGATTTTTCTGTCGATCCATGACAGCCACCAGATTCTAAAATGTCCTTATATATTAATTTAATTGTGTGCAGCGTAACTCGCGGTTGCGACTTCTTACGCCAAAATAAAAATATTACTAAACTAAAGTACCACGGCGATATGGGGAAATAAAAATATGAAATAGGCTGCCTGATGTATTTAATTTTGAAACGTATTTTTGCAATCTTCCGAAGTCGTTATCGCCGTTACAAAAATCTCGATATCTGATATAAAATCCCATATAGTACAATTTTAATTCATACAATGAAAATAATTATAAAGTATACTAGTAAATCAAAAATACAAATTCACCGCCTCGAAATCCACGCGGAACAGTCGCCGCGATTACGCCACTTGTTAATTAAAAGAGCCGACTTTATCAACGAAAAATGATTTTTCACTTGTGCAAAGTAATCAATCAAAGACCGATACGGGCATATTCAAAATGTCTTGATTTATTAATTTAATTGTCTTCAATTTAAACTGCGGTTGAGTCGACAAAACAAGAGCCACTCTAAAACACGACGGCAATCCGTGGACATAAAAATGTGTGGTAAACTGCCCGTTTATATATTTTTTTGATCCGTATTTTTGCTATTTTGCGAATTCGATAAATTTGAGATGTACTTGTCACAGTGGCTCCGCTCAATCGCAATGTTGTCACTCTGATTATTTTTAAAGATAAAACCTTTCGAAAAATCCATAAATTTTCTGTCAATTCTCACGTAGTAAAAGTTATTCCAGTACAATAAAAGTACATAAATAAATACAAAAACTGATCCAATATACTTTAATTATCTTATATATCATCACAAACCGGGGAAAAGTCGCGTTGTCAGCTTTGTTTAATGTTAACACGAAAATTTTCGACGTCGATTTAAAAGTAATGGATAAAAAGGCAAATCCCGCTCACAATTGACCGAGTTTCGATTTTAGTGACGAAATGTTTTTAAAGGTCAAGCAAACATAATTTGTGAAATTTTGTAATTCTCGATGCCTAGAAAAGCGTTTTTAGACTGTCGCGGGCCTCAACAAAACTAATATTGTTTACAGTTTTATTTTTAGTATTTTATATTTCCGCTTTTCGACATAGTAAATGCTTTGATCTTTGCCAGCAAATTATGCTGGGCCTTGCACGGAATCCATAACGTGAAAAGATACGTCCAGCGGTGAAAATTGTTTATAACAACTTAAGATCTAGTTCATTTTTTAGCGATAATAATTAATTGTTGTAATGAAACACAGTTTGCCTCTTTCACTTCTCTCGCAAGTGCCAGCAATAACACTATTGAAAGATTTTGACAATGAGAAAATCATATTAAATTGTACAAAAATGAATTAGTTGTGCAAAACCGTGGGGGCGAGCATGTTTCACGAAAATGTGAGGTGCTCCGAAGGCGCTCTGGTCCACATTATTGTAAGAAAACAGTTCTAATAGCGGTGACTATTAACCGTTTAATTGTGCTAGACTATAGCACTTTTCGGAAATGATAATTTTGTAAGGCGGAAACAACATGTATTAAATTTTTTTGCAAAATTATTGGGGGGGCGACCGCCCCCCCCCGGGTGTCCGCCCCTGAGTATTATTATATATCATTATTACTTTAGACGCTTCAATTTGCACTACGATTCAAAAATCCTGATACTGCGTCTGCGTTCAAAAACTTATGGAAAGAAGGTGCAGAGGCAGCAGTTGCAGAAACATTACTTGAACCTGACGAATCCGCTATCAATACTTCAACTATAAAACCCGGTGTTACCAGCCCTGGTGCTGTGGCCAATAGCCCACAAAGTCTAGTTGATCAGCCAAAGCCTACATTTAGCTTTGCAAATGTCCCAAGTCCATTTGACGCAGCTAAAAATGCTGATGGAGAACCACATAAAGTTATGGGTTTTGTGTTCGGTATGTATGTTTATCTAATATTCATTTTGTGCATGAACAAGTTCTCAAGTTTTTCAAACCAGACATAATTGTTTCGATTCTGGTGAATAATTTGCTAAATTTTTCATATTGTTTCTTTGTATATTAAGTCGCGCGACATTATATTGTGTGTAATTCTTCTTATCCCAAACATTCAATATTGGCCTGGAGTGTGATACAACTTTGTCCATTTTTATTAATTCTTATTGAATAACATTTGCAAAATATTAATTTTGTTATGCTACGCTGTCCTGTGTGGCATTACATTATGGGCAATTCCCTATATCTCAAATGATCAATATTCGCCCGGGCTAGATTGCTTTTGTTTAATATAATTTTCCTCTTCATTAAACTTCACACAAAATCTATCTATCTATCTATCTATCTATCTATCTAGTCCAATCTATTATTTTGTTAGACTATTCGTTGTGATTACAAATAGTAGGATGTGTGACATATTAGTATGGGTAATTCCGCCTTTTTTCAAATATTCAGTATTTGCCTGGTGTATTATTTGCATATAATATAATTTCAAACTTAATTAAAGTTCACACAATTAGTTTATTTCCAGTAGGTTGCGTAACATTATATTCATTGGTATTCCTCTATGTCCCAGATTATAAAATTTTATCTTCATGAAAAAAAATGACTGGTGTATATTATTTGTATATAATAAATTTTCAAACCTAATTAAAGTTCACACAATTAGTTTGATTCTAATCAACGATTTTCCTATTTAGAAACATTTCCAGTAGGTTGTGTAACATTATATTCATGGGTATTCTCCTATGTCCCAGATTATGAATTTTTTTTAGTAGAAATCTTCATGAAAAAAAAACTTGTTTTTGTGGGAATGGATGCTCTTAATAATTCTTTCAATTCTATCCATCATTTATTTTCCAGATATACTTTTGTATATCTATATTGGGATACTCAAGTAGGGTGTGTGACATTGGTTAATGGTTAGATAGTGATGTGATAGATTTTTTTAAGATTGAATAATGGAAGATGTCCATTTGTGCCTGTGTGCAATAGGTTGTGTGACATTATAATATGGATTAATATCCATCATTGAAGTCCACAAAATTACTTGATTAAAATCAAAAATTTCACTAATCTACCTACTTTGGGATGCTTGCGTAGGATGTGTGACATTGAATAATGATTACTTCCCCTATATCCCAGAAATTGCTTCTAGCGGATATATTCATAAAATGATTTCTGTGATGGGGGATGCATCACAAATCATCCCTTTCAATTTTTATCAGCGATTTCTAAGATTACCAATTACCTAAGCAGGCAATAGGTTGTGTGATATTATACTGTAGGTAATTCACATTTCAAATATTCTATTTTGCCTAGGGCGTATTATTTTCATCTAGCATAATTCTCTACTGTATTAAACTTCGCACAATTGTTTTGAATCGAGTCAGCGGTTTTGCTGAACTGCCCATTTTGAAATTACCGTATTTGCTCGTTTTGTAGCCCGGGCCCATATTTTTTTAACCAAACTCACTAACGGGGGCCCTTATTCAAACCGGCCCTTGTACAAGCACGGGCGCTTGTTATTTTTAAAGTGAAATTATACACAAAAATATATAAAAAAAACATATATATATAGATAAGATCGATCGTTACAATAACTAATATGTTGCCATTTTGAGTTCTCAAGTATGATTCAAACGAGAATAACGAAAATTTTTACCTTTTTTACGCACCGCAGGTATAAATCCGCAAAAGAAGAAAAGTTTTGCGACGCCCTGTCAATATTGAAACGACGCACTTGGCGTCGCGACGCCCAGTTTGAGAACCACGGTGTTACGTAATCAATGCCACCTGTTATGTAATTGGACGCCTATGGCGTTATCTACCAGCGCTTAAAATTCAACAGCGTTGTGACAAAAGCCCTTTTTATTTCCTATTGTTCCCTACCGCTGAAAAACAGCTTTTACATCGGGCGGGTATTCAAGAACAGACCCTTATTTATTTTTATGTTCTGTTCACACGGGCGACTATTCAAACAGGCCCTTAATCAAAATCGGGCGGTAAAACGAGCATATACGATATGCATAATAGGTTTTGCGGCTGCATCAATTCCCAAAATATGAAATTTTGCTTTCAATGGTAATATTTATGAAAAACAAAAACATTTAGGATAGTGGATGTAGATGAGGGTGGTTATTACAGCATATTATATTTTCATATAAATTAAATACCCCGTCGTTAAGCTTCATAATTGTTTTGAGTTTTCTTAACGAACCTGCAAGACGATCTATTTTGTGATTTTATACAATAGGTTGTTGCGTGACATTATATTCTCAATAACTATCCCATATACTAAATATTCAGTTTGTTTTGATTAGAAATTTCGTAAAATGATTTATACTTTTGTAATGAATATCGATGCAAGGATCATTGTATATATTTCATATCCCACATAAGTCTCAACATCATTAATCTTCACGCAATTGTATTGATTCTTATCATATTAGCTTTAGCGTACTGTTGGTTTTGTGATATGTCACTTCTGTTTTTAAATACTATAATAAAATCTATCTGATAGAGCAATGCTGCATTTGACGTATTTCAATCTTATGAATTGTATTCTCTGATATTGGATCACATGTTTACTATTGCAGGTAAAAGCACCCAGTCAGAATCAACTCCGTCCACTGATAAGTTTAAATTTGATGTTTCAAAGATGTCTTTTAACTTAGGTTCAACAAGCACACCACAGGTATGCATATTAGCGACTTGCAACTGGTTCCTTTTCAGGGTTAATTTGTCATTCCTGTAATTATTCATTGTAATTATTTTCCAGTTTTTTTTTTCTACTTGACTTATAAGGGCTTATCTTGTCTCAGCAATTTTTTGTAATTTTTATTGTGTGCAGTTATATGTAAATAAAATAAAAGATTATAATATCAATATAAATCACAAAATGCTGTCTCAACAAATCCTCATTTGCTTTTTAGATGGGTAGTATCAGTACACCATCAGCGAATTTCTTTACCCCACCTCAGAATATGGCAGAGCCTAGAACTGGAGCAGTCACGAAGTCTTTATTCTCTGAAGATTCTGCATCGGATAGTACAGTTAATAGCAATTTATATGTAACATCGAGTGTTAAATCTGTTGGATTTAAAAAAGATCCTTCTGTAAGTAAAGGTATTTATGAAATTGGGGTACTGTGATATTTTATTGATGCTAAGCAATTGCATTGTCTGATTATGGTAGAAAAGGGATGAAAAATGGCATTTTCTTAACTGTGTGAACTGAAAACAAAAAGCCAGATAAATGATAATCGCTCATCGCTAATCAATATATGGACACTTCTTTGTCTACACAAACACAACTAATGTTCTCTCCTTCCGCCTTTGTATTTTTGTGTTACATCGTATTGCTGTCTTTTGTTAACTTTTTGGCAAGCAGCTACATTTTCTTTTATAGTTTCAGTTCCCTGGCGCAGGGCAAGTAATGTTTCAGCAGCAAAACACGAATGAAAATGATGATCAGGATCCAAGTTCTTATGCCCCTGACACACAATTCAAACCTGTATTGGATAAACTTCCACCCTTGGTTGAAAAGAAAACTGGCGAAGAAGGAGAAGAGGTTTGCTAGAACTAGTCCTTTTATGTTCTATTATAATTTGAAGTTAACATTAATTTGTAAGATGTTGTAAGTATCGTATTTCTCGTTTAGTTCAGGACTGGGCAATTATTTTTGTTATGGGCCACATTACAATTTTGAAATGCAGTGGCGGGCCGGACGTAAGTTAAGTTACGTCCGTTTTATTACACATTTAAAAAACTAGCTCAACGATATCTCGCTGTCATAGCGCATGACTCAAAGAGCGACTTAGCCTGAATTTCACGCTATCATTACTCTGTTGATCAGTGATCGATTGCTGATCATTTTCACAAGTTTGACTGCAGATAGCATGCGGTACTATGTGGTCTATGAACATCTCTACTAAAACATTTTTATTTGAAGCATTTTTATTACAAAAATAAAATTTACAGTTGAAGTATATTTTATATGTGAATAAAAAAAATGAGTGTCTATATCCAGAAATCTTACCGTATTGCTAGGGGTCGGATTCGGCCTGCCCAAGTTGCCCAGGCCTGATTTAGATTCTCCATCAATTGCTTAGTTGCAATTGAAAAAATGAGTTTGCTTAGTTCTTGATTGATCGTTATTGAGTAATTACCTCCAAAAATTAGTTTACACTCATTTTTAACGTACTTAACTCTTCTGCTTTAACAAATTCAATCCTTTGTCATGTGCTTATTTTTCTGTTGAACATAACCCAATTACATACCTTAAAATACCTTAGTCATGATTTACAAACCCGCGTTCCTAATCTGATATCGTGTGATATTGTATAACTGTCAATTTCATAACATTTTTTATTGTTTGCCAGATTTTGTTCAAAGAAAGATGTCGATTATATCGATACGATAAAGATACAAATCAATGGAAAGAGAGAGGAGTTGGTGACATTAAAATTCTATTCAATGATATACAGAATATGTATCGTGTTGTTATGAGAAGAGAACAGGTGATAAAAATAATTGTTTAATTGGAACGTTGTTCTAGACGATTTTTTATGAACTAATGCTTTTAATTTTGTTTGTTTTTTTCAAGGTTTTAAAAGTTTGTGCCAATCATGTAATCAATGAAAAAACAGAACCAAATTATCATTTGGGATCTTCAAAAACTTGTTCATATTTTACCTTGGATTATACAGGTACTGGAATATGATGCCTACTGTTTGATATTTTAGGAAATGTAATATTACCCTTTGTTATATCATGTTTCATATTTTTCCTGGTAACATTGAGTTTATTGGAATGGCTCAGTCAAACCTTGCCTTAAATGGTAAATTACTGTATTCTCAAATAGTTTACTGTATGAAAACTGACTGAACTTTGCTTTAATGAAATCTCTTTCTAAACAATATTCTAGTATCATTAGATAGGAAATCAATAACATAAAAGCAATCGGGATTCCAAATAATATGATCCAAAATGTAGTACAATGGAAAGTTTTTTTTGTATGCAAACTATTTCTTATAATTTTATAGCTGGACCGACACCTACACCTGAGCAATTTGCGTTCAGATTCAAAACAGAAGATATGTGTAAAACCTACATGAACAAAATTGAAGAAGTGAAAGAACTACAACAAAACGAATCTTCTTGTTAGCTTATATTTCCTAGTGCTATCCATTATGGTTAGCTTATGATTCCTAGTACTATCAAATATTTTCTCATGGCATTTTTTCATACCTGGTGCTTTTCCTTCCATGCGAATTGTGACTATACTTTGCCTAATATCACATATAATGTATGATTACATGTTCACGACAATTTTTGCCTAATTTTACTGCCAATCAAAGTAGTCAAGTGGAAGGATTATTATAATGATCGTGGATGAAAAGATGTTCATCACCACTTAATTGTACTTTATGGTCTACGTTTCGATATTTTCTAGTGTTTATTTTGAAAATACAATCACCTGTACCAACGTTTTGTTATTCATTCGGGTTAATATCTGGGTTTGAAAAGGATGTTTATCCATTATTCCCTAAGATCGAGCATGTATGTACGTGTTTATTTTCGGGGTGCTCATTGTTATAACGTTTACACTTGAGTTTAGACTCAAGTACAGGTCTTACCTGTTTAATGCATGTAATATATAAGGCTGTTGTTAGTTTTATATTCTGGTTAGGACGCTTCATACCCAAGAGGTACTTAAAATGATATTTGTTTGGCAGAAGCAGAGTTGCGCACTGAATATTTCTGTAATTAGACAAAAATAATGAAATGAAGAATATTTGAATTTTGAAAAAGCTAATAGCCGATCGTGTGATAGAAATGCCATGCTTGGAAATCCCTATTGATTGAAAATGCAAGTTTGCAAGCGAAGGAAATTTAATAATATGCTACCGTAAATATGACAAAATGGTTTCTACAGAGGCTTACGAGGTTTATGCGACTTCGTTATATTCGATATCCGACGATCTGGGAAAATAATCCAGCTTCTCACCTTGGCTGCAAATTAAGATTCCGAACGCACTGGTAAGCTATCGGCTTTACTGTTAACAATCTCGTCCCGACGAGTGGATATGCTTCTAGTATTCCTACGTGAAGTATTCGTTCGTGTATATATATATAAGTATACTGTTCGTGCGACTGTTCTGAAATTCTTAACGTTGTTACTGTGTTGTGTCGTCACAACGGCTTGACAGAACATTTATTTCACGAAGTTTATTGTGTTGCTCGTTTGAACTCGTAAATATTGATTGTGTTCGTTGTCATTCATCGAGGTATATAAAAAATCGTCATAGATATGCTTAATAATGGTAAGATGGTTAATGATTAATTTATTTTTATGGTGATTCATATTTCGCAAACACGAGTTGTTACGATTTCAAATCCTGGTTAGCCCATGTCAACAACAATGGCTGATCTCGTTTTGCTCCTTACATTGTATGTGCTTTATCGTACAAATGGGCACGACTCGAGTTCAGTCATTGAATTGGTAAGGACAATACCCTTTGGCGGATAATACCCTTTTATGAAAGTTTTGTCGTTGTAATCAAATCATGAATTACAAAATGCCAGCGACGGATTTTATATTTCAATGGGTACATTAACTATGTAAGTTCTACTATGCAGCATTTTAAATACCTCTGTATGAGGAAATGACGGTAAATATTTGATGAAATGCGATATCAACGTGGGTGGGTATTTAAATATTAAGTGATATACTGCAGTGCTGCTGTTGAATAAACTGATGGATGGATGATGGATAGATTTATTTATTTGTTATGATGATTTACTTATTTGAGTGGCAGGATATAGTTTATGTTTAATGACATACTATTCTATTATTTTCACAAGCAGAATTTTCACATAATTTAAGTGTAAATTACGATTTTAATGTGAATTTCCCAACATGGTGGATCATCTCCTACCTTTAATTGTGAATAAAAATTCGTATCCTGAAATATGAAAAATAAGTACTAGAATAGACATTTACAAAATATGGTGGATCATCGCCCACCTTTAATTGAAAATGAAAAATCGTATGCTAATTGGAAGAAGGCAATACAGCTATGGTCGATCGCAACGAATGTTCCAAAGTCAAAACAAGCTATCGTAGTCGCTCTGAGTTTGCAAGATAAAGCAAGAGAATCAGCATTAGAAATTGAAGAATCAGTTTTCCGTAGTGAGAATGGAATCAGAGAATTATTGAAAAAACTTGACATTACTCATAAAGAGTTAAAAGCTGATTGTTTTTCTGCATTTCTTGATTTTGATTCTTGTGTGAGATGGCCTTCAGAAGCAATGGCATCGTATATTACCAGGTTCGAAAATCGCCATTCGAGACTCAAAATGTTTCAGACATCTATTTCTGATGATATGTTGGGCTTGAAACTTCTTGCTGGTGCGAGATTGTCTACCAGTGAATCGCAGAAAATATTGAATAACGATAATACGGAATGGAGTATGTCAACAATATCGCGAATCCTACGCGATATATCTGGTTCCTCAAATGTATTTGATTTTACGATACCAAACTCATGGTCTTCAAGTTTTCTCGCGCATGTTGATACAGGTAATTTGTTTGTATGTTATTTGACTTCATATCTACTTATTTATTATGCTGGCAGCTATCTCAATATGGTATAAAAATCGAAATTACAAAATTTTACATATGTCAGTATGTATATATATATATTCTTATATATGTTTTGGCATGAACTAAACATGTCTGAGTTTATCATTTTGGTATTCGAACCAAATATCTGGATATACCAATTATTCAAATATTTCTGTATTGATTCAGAGAAATGCATGTATGTCATAGTAAAATGAGAATATTTCATAAAACTTGCTATACATTCACCTTTGAATATGTTTAGGATACTATTTTATAAAAATGAAGCAACTAGAGCAAATGGTTTTGAAGAACATGTTACAATATATACTGGTACAGCTGTTTCGTTGAGGGCTAAGAAAATGATTTTGATTAACATGCCAAATATTTTTTTTATGAAATTATATACATATTGTTGTATTAGATATACAATTTATTACAAGATATGTACAGTTTGCAGTAGATTTGATATGCGAAAAAATAAATGCTATTCTGCAAATTAAATTGATGCAACAATATGTCAATCGTGAGGTATTTTAAATAAATAATCTCTGAAATATCTCAGTTATTTTTTTTTTAATATTAATAATTTAATGCCCAGTATAACAAAATTCATCTGAGAAATATTTCCATGTACCGGTAATTTATTAATATTTAGGTTAATGTCAATTTTAATCTCCAACAGTTTCTCTTACAAGTTAGCATGTCCTTTTACAGGGGTTATGTCCACATAATGACTAAATTTTTTTTTCAATTCTTATACATGAATTTCATCCAATTCTCGAATTTCATTGATTTTGAAAATTATCTTTCTAAGATTGAGCTGTTCACATGAGTCTTATTGATTGGTTGAAGATATCGGGTATTAGGTTTGCCATATTTAAATCACTCCTTAATCATTCGATTACCAGTTGTTGGCAGATTGTGGAATAGTTGTCCAGCCACTTGTTTCATATGAACAGGTTTGAATGGGGATTACTGACCAGCAATTGAATTACATATGTTGGCAAGCATGTTCTTAATACTTCATATGAAGCACCAACCATTTAGTAATTGCTTCTGCGTTTCATTGTCTATTTGGCTAGTTTCTCGAGCTAGCGAGCAATATGATTTAAATTAAAATGCATACTGAAGGTGTTTATGCAAGAACATCAAAATATTCGTGTATCTATTTTTCATATCTTTCAGATTCCAGAATTTTTCAGAGCAAGTCAAAACCTGAAGTAGCACAGTCTTCAAAATTCACATTTTCAAAACCGGTGTTTGGAAATGTTGGATTGTCATCAACAGGTAATATTAAAGTACAGTGGTAATTTAACAAAAAAAAGGAAAAATTTTATGAACGCGCGATCCAACCTTTATTATTTGAAATCACTATTATAAGCTATAAATATTCATTTCTGCATTTAATTTTATTTAATCTTTTCTTCATTTTTAATATGCACTTAGACTGAATGCTTTTGCAGAATTGGCTAAGACTTATTCAGTTTTACTTACAGATTAACAGAAATTGTATAGAGATTTAATTCACCCAGCTGTAGTCATATATTATAATAGTTATCAATTGTTTCATATACATGGAATGGGGAATGAAAGTAGCAACTGACCAGCACATGAACTCTTTTTGTTAGCGAGGCATCGAGTCATTGCTTTAATAATTGAGTGTCTATTCGGCTAGTTTCTCAAGTGAACATCACACTTTGATTTAAAATGCATACTGAGGGTTTATTTAATAGCATCAAAATATTAAAAATGCATTTCTAAAATCTTTCAGACTCAAAAAATTTTCAGAGCAAGCAAAAACCTGCAGCGGCAGAGGCTTCGAAATTCACATTTTCATATTCAGTATCAGGAAATGATAGTTTTTCTTCAACAGGTAATATCAAACTGCAGCTGTGAATGCTTGCAAAAATTGAGAAATATTCCGGAGTTTTTGGGTGATCTAACCATTAATATTTGAAATGGATATTATAATAATATATATATCAATATGCATTTATTCTGTTTCACTCAAAATTGTTTCATTTTTTGAATGCACTCAGAATTATTCAAAGATTTTATTAAATTGTCAAAGAGTTATTCAGTTTATACTTATACTAGGTGGTTTCACTGACTATTTGGACCGAAATTATATTGTGAACTTCAACATAAATAGAAAACCTCGCAAAGCAGCTTAAACATAAAATTTAGACTGAAAATTTTCAAACCTCATTTTCTATTTACAACCAGTAAGAAATAAAAAGAATGATGATGTTATATTTGTGTCGGAAGTAAAACCAACGGAAGATCAACGCACAAGAGCTGAAAAATTGCTTCTTCCATCTACATTTTATCTATATGAAAATAGAATATCATGTGGTAAGTTTAGACCTTTTGTTTATACATTTGATTGTTTTTTTCAGGAAAATCCTTAGAAAATTTCATTTTTTAGTCTATGCCAGTAACTCATTTGAAGTTAACAAAACTGTGAACCACGATAACTTTAATTATTGTTTGCTTTTCAGATTTTGATGAAAGGTTAGAAGAAGAAAAAGAAGACAAAATACTGAAATATATTCATGATCGAGATAATGGAAAATTAAATTATAAACTACAACATTATCCTGCGTGTGGTATATTTTATATAATTTCTATCGAAGTGGTGTTACTAAATTATGACACGATAAACTTATGAAACTAATTTTTGCAAATTTTCTACATTTACAACATCTCTTGCTGTTTATTTGTCTATTGATTAATTACAGAATATGTGCAAGCTTATTTTAAATTTAAGGATATCAGCGCGCTTCACTTCGAATACTACTACAAAAGTGATTTCTTAAAATGCAGCATCTGTTGTTGATACCTTGTCAAAATTTTCAAACATAACAATATTACTTCATTCAATATTTATCGGTTGGCTTTAAATGTTCCTAAAATGCTTCTTTTTTATTGGTCATTTGTACCAACCAGTTTTAGTAGTCTAACTATAGTCATCTTCTATAAACAATAAATCCTGTATTATATGCTTGCACTGTTCCTCAGCTGATTCATCAATGACGACTACTGTTACTTCTATTACATCATCAACCCACACTTCTACAAGTGCTACATCATCATCTTTCAAATTGTCAACTATATCTACAACTACCAGTCAGACAATGTCACAAAGGCAAGCTTTTTAAGTATTTTCCGATGATAGTTTTTTGTGATAAATATTTATGTGGTGTTTATCAACTTTACTTCATTGTTCTAGTGTTTCCCAAACACAAGCCTATTCTAAAAAAGGAATGTTGATTGCTGATAAGAAAGCTGGAGCATGGAATTGTTTTGATTGTTATGCTCAGAATGGACCTACTGACTCAAAATGCCTATGCTGTGGTACACCTAATCTGTCAGCACCCAAAGTTGGTGAGATTTCAAAGTTGATCGATACCATGTCTTATGCTGAAATATAAATAAACATTATGAATGGGTAAATTTTTGTTTGAATGGTTCAATCAGGAATCACACTATAGTATATTTGACCCTTCATTTGAAAGCTCTTGCCTGTTACATTTTGTTACCAAATCTTGCAGGGAAGTTCATACGTGCAGATGAGATGTCATTTGAATTAATTTTTTTAAGAAAAAGTTGTTCGAAATATTTCTCAATCTAACTATTTTTTCGTAATTGTTTATTATTTATACTGAACCGTATATTAAAATTTTCAGAGGAAGCAAAAGGAAAGCCTTTTGCATCAAAATTCGGCACTTCTTCAAAACCAACTGGATTTGAGGTGAGATTTTGTTGTTTTATTTTATATATGGATATAATAATATCTAACTATAACATTTACAATGGATATCTAATGATTTTATATCTTTTCCATGAATATAAGCATAATTAAAACAATTTTTGGCTTTTTAAACATTAGACTTTGTTTCTAATTTTTGTTTCAAAAATTAACATAGATTGTAAAATATAACAAATCGTCATGACGATCTGTAAAATAATTATGATAGAGAGAGAATCTAGTACAAAATTTGATTACCGGTAATAAGAAAAAATAGGTCCAGGAATTGAGACGCAAAATGAATTGAAAAGTCACAGAATGATTCAATCACGATTAAGCGTTGCCCAGGAGACATCAAATGTCCACACCAATAATTAATTAACCACTTCATATCTCTGCAAAAGTATCACTTTTGTATGTCATTACTTGAACTCCTTATTTTTTGTCAGAATGTATTTGATTGATGTGTAATATTGTCAATTTATCGCTCGTATTTGATTGATGTGTGATATTGTCAATCTATCGCTTGTGTAAGCACAATCGACTTTTTATAACCAGGTGCAAAGAATTATGTATATATATATTATTTTTTTTCGAAAGTTATGCCAATCAAGTTGGGAACCTGATTATATTTGATAGTCATTTGAAAAAACAAAGCAAGTAGTGCTCATTTAAATTTACGTTATAGTTAAGCAAGGCCTTGTCTTGAAGTCTCCTGCTTTTATTTTTTAAAAACTATACCAGATTGGATACAAACTACATACTTATACGCTTATATGTATTTTCTACTTTAGATCGAGCTATATGTATGGTGTTGTTCAGTATAATCACATGTCAACACCAAACTTATATTTCTATTAGTTATTTTGTAACATAATAATGGATGATTGCATGGTAAATTGGATGAAGGCGTTCAGGTATTTTTGACGTAAAAGAAGAATGCGCAATGAATCATAATATGTTTAATTGAAACATGACGAATCGTAGTTTGCAATTAATTTTTTTCCTTAAAATAACCAAGGCGAAACAAGCCACATAAAACCCCATGAAACCAAACAGAGCATGAATTCACCAGAGCTTGAGTTTTAAATTTTGATTGATTTATTTCAGGAAAAGAAAGAAATAGTTTTGAAATCGGTTGTTGAGCAACTTGCTAAATTAACGGTAAGTTTTTTAGATGATAAATTTGAGGATTAAACAGTAAAAATAACTGCTTCATTTGTCTGCTTATATTGTTTGAACCAATTGACGTTACTGATTTGCATCTTAATCAATAATTCATAGTTCGATTGGCATTCAATTTTATGGATATGAATTGATTTCTAGTTATTATTTATTCCTTCTTTATGAAGAATTAACACCCTTTCCAAAGACTCATTTACGTTTTTTTGTATGTACTGGGTAACTTCAAGAAAACGCAAGTGCTATTTATATAATTTTGACTGTTTCATTTATATTACATCAATGTTTGTATTTGGAATGTTTATCAACTGGCTAATTAGTCTTATGCCTAAGCCTGGATCAGAAAAGAAGTCTTAAATTATCATATTTCCGTAACATTTAGACACTTGTCTCTGAACTACAAGAGAGAAAAGAAGTTGCAGAATCGGTAAAATATCAAAAACAGCAAGAGGCCATGCAACTACAGTTGCAGCAATTGCAAGCTCAAGTCAATCAGTCACAATTTGCTACACCAATTGCACTAGGAAGAGTTGTTCACTTGACTCAGTCGGAGGGGCAGATGCCAGGCAGACCGATGCACCAGGTTTGTCATTTCATATAAAACAACATCAGAGCAGGGGTCGCAATAATATTTAGCTGAAAGTAGATGATAACAATAATTTGGATAGTCTTTGGATCCAAAGATTCATTGCGTCTGTTGATAAATCTTACCAGCGAACTGCACTTGGACAAATCAGTATCCCAATGCAATCTGGCAATCCATACTACAATATGCTTTCATACCAGCAAGGATATCCATCTCAAAGCCCAGCCAAGCCCATATGTACTTTTTCCTATCATCTCCCTGCAATTTTAAATTCACAAATAAACATTTGTTTAAATTATCAAAATACAAGCACATAAACTTGTCTTCTGATACATTTGTTGGTTGTATAGTCATATTAAAACGAGTCATTGTTTCCGAATATTTTCCACTTCGATTTATCAATATTACTTGAAGTTTTAGTAGTATTTTTACAAAACAAAATTATTACATTTTCAGTCCAATGGTGGAAGCTCAGCTTTACAACCAGCACCACCTGAGTTGCAACGTCGACGTGAAATTAATTATCCTGAACACATCAATTTTCCTGATAATAACTGTTAGTATTCATAATTGGTATAGGACCTGGCATCTGGTATATAAATAAATTCTTTCAATTTGCATTATATACTTGAGGCAGGGAATTGAGATGTAAAAAAATTTCATATTAATTCTACAAATATGTGTTACCAAGTCCAGCATACAATTTGACATGATTTTCTTATAGCATGGAATTATAAATTCCAAACTCCAGAAGAGATGGATAAAGCAAATGATAAACTAAAAGCAGATGAAGAGGCAGAAGATGCAAAAACATCCCAGAACGATACCGGTCCTCATTTTGAACCAATTGTGAGATTGTCTGAAGTTGAGGTCAGTGTTTTATCATGTTCATTTTCTAGATCCAAACATTTTAGAGTTTATTTGTTACTTGTTGTTCATACATATCTAAGTCACAAATTATCGTTCTCAAAAAGTGATTGTGATTCAAAATCCTTTTCATATCATCTGAATTTTTGCATTTTTTATTCCTTTGTATTTGTGAATGTAAATGGGCCAGGCTTTCATCAGATAAATTTTATTCCATAGATACGTACTGGTGAAGAGGATGAGGAAGCTGTTTTCTCTGAAAGTGCAAAATTGTATAGATGGACCGAAGGACAATGGAAGGAAAGAGGAGTTGGTGTGATGAAGATATTAAAACATAAAGAAATTGGAAAATACAGAATTCTTATGAGACGGGATCAGGTAGCAGCTGAAAATAGTCACAGAATGAATTTATAACATTCTAGCTATGTTGTGTATTAGTAATGTTCCTAGTATGAACTGAGCTTCAGTATTTAGTTGAACTTTAGCACTAGATGCTCTCAGCACTTAAGATTTGATAATTGCAGTGTCATGTGAAAATGAAATTTTGATGGATAATTGCTACTATTTTGGATCAATTGTTTGTTGTTTGTTGCTTCATTGATGTTGTAATTGTTATTAACATATTGAAAATCTATGAAAAGTGGTGCATTTAAAGAATCATAATTTAGGAAGGGGATTTGAACACCAAGTATGAACCTAATATTCCAAGTTGTTTTTTCAATTATCACTAATATTTATAATTCTCCATAAATTCAGTATTTCCATGACATATTGGATATTATTGTAACTTTGTTGTGATTGAATTCTTGTTATTATGTTTCACACAGTTTGTATTTGCAATTATTTTGTAGCTAACAACTACATATACTCTTATTGAGGCTACTTTTTTCTGGTGTTCTACTATACATTTTTCTGAAGAATACAATTTTTTTTCAGATTCTAAAAATATGCTGTAATCACTTAATTGGAAAAGATTTGGAGTTACAAGCGATGCCTAAATCAGATAAAGCATGGATATGGCATGCATTGGATTTTTCTGAGGAGGAAAGCAAACAGGAAGGATTTGCTATTCGATTCAAAACTTCTGAACTTGCGCATTCATTCAAAGAAAAGTTTACAGAAGGAAAGGAGATTAAAATTAAACACAGTGGAGGTATAGTACTTTTTGATTATTCTTGTAAATAAAGTTCTACCTGATTCAGGCATGGGAATTTTTCTTTGAGGTGTTTTACGTGCTCGGCTCTGAGCACGGTTCCAGGCAAGTATCCATAATACTTCTAAATAAGTGTTCAGCTTTTGCAAGTTGACATTTATTTGTCTATTAATTACTTTAGTTGTGCTTGCTTATGTTTGATTTTGATCTTAGGTACACCTGTACGCGCGTCTACAACTGTAAAGGTAACTTCACACAAACCTGCATCTACTGTGGATACTTTGCCTAAAACTACAAACTCGATAATGGCACAAGGAGGTATATTTATTCAATATTAATTCAATATTCACATTCAGTACCATCTTTGAATACTAAACCTCCAAAGGTGGTATCTGCAAGTCAGTCTACATCTGATGGTACAATTGAGACACCAAATACTCACGCGAATGGGGCTTTTTTTCAATTTATTATTTGTTTCAATGTGTCCATTGAAAATGTTCAATTTATTTATGAGTGATAATATTTTTTTAAAAAAGATGCCAGAATTTTCTACCGTTTATAAAGAATCTTTTTTATGGAATGTAGATGAAGCTTGAGACAGAAAATCTTATTTCTAGGAAGCTCATCATCTTCTCTCGTCCTGACTTCTATTCAATTTGATAAGAACAGTATGTTTCTTAATGTTACTAATATTAACCTGTTATTGCTAATTTTATTTCAGAGACCAAATCTTCTACCAATGATGTAACAATCCCAAAATTTTCTTTTGCTTTTCCAAAACCATCAGCAGCAGCTGCTAACCTTGCAGCAAAGATCGCGGGTTCCCCACAGAAGGTGGTTTCCACTGCTGGTAAGTTTGAATTTTTAATTGGTTAATGCAGCAAATTTAAAAACTAATAGCAAGAGATTAATTAATAGTCTGTACAGGAAGGCAATCCAGAGAATGGCAATGTATTTGAAATATTTAAGTTGATTCCTTTGTAAGTAGTGTTGGTGTTTTTTAGAGCTATTGCTGAAATATCATTAAATTGTACGTTTTTTTTTTGACTCTTGTTGAGGAATTATATATGATTTGCACTACCATGAATTCTATGCATTGACAATATAATTTTATATTTCATTACATTATAGATCAAGAAACAAAACCAGAAAGTTCAAATAATGATGATGATCAAAATGAAGACATACATAATGAATCTGGAGATGGTCCTCATTTTGAACCGATTGTTAAACTTCCTGATAACTTCGAAACTAAAACAGGAGAAGAAGATGAACAGGTATTTACTACATTGGATTAATTTGTTTTATTAACAATAAAGACGGGAGTAAAGGTCATCTTGAAGTATGTGAACCAAGATGGTGGACACTGGAACGTAGTATTTGTACCAGGGCACTACCAGGTTCTCCCGTAGTATTTGTACCTGAAATTATGTCCTAACCCTAACCTGGTACGCATACTACGTTCCGGTGTCCGCCATCTTGGTTCACATACTTCGGGAATACTGAAGAAAAAATGTTCCTCGAGAAAAATATTGTTGCCCAAATAGTTTAAAAAATTTCATATTACCGAGGAACCCTGGCGATTTATTCCCCAATCTCATAGAACCAATCGCTTGTGATCGAAACGTTTAGTGAAAATTAGTTGGTGATATTACTATAAGGTTTATACAAGACTTACTCTCTCCCTTAAACGAATTTGTAGCAAGATCGAAACTCCTTTAGAGTCTCCTGCTTTTTCATATTTAAATTGTACTGACTGTTGTCTCGCTTTTAGGTTCTTTATTGTCATCGTGTGAAGTTATATAAATACACTGACAAACAATGGAAAGAAAAGGGAGTTGGTGAAATGAAAATTTTACACAATGCTGGCACAAAGAAAAGTAGAATTGTAATGCGAAGAGATCAGGTAAGCAAAGTTGTAATGATATTGGCGTGTCTTGACGTTTATAGATACAACATTAAAATTCTGTGATTTTAACAAACATGAATCCTGACATTGGGATTAGGAAAAGGGCTATTCCCAGTTGGAATAGTTTAAAAATAACTCAAAAATGTTCTGCCAATGATTTAATGCACGCTAAAATTGTTTTGCGGGCCGCACGGAATGTGCCTTTCTTTAATGAGATGGAACTGTTCCATTTTTCAATCAATATTTCGGTAATCATTGGTATCTGTGCACAACCATATTTGTATCTTGGCTCATCAGTGGAAATTCGTGTAATCTTGGAAGGGATTGCATATTTTTAAATCATTATACTGTTATGAAATACAGTATATGATTTGGTATATTGATTTTGCAATGATAATATTAGGAAAAGTGTAGATATTATGAGAAACTTTTCAAATGACACAATTTTTTACATAATTAATACTCACTTTCCAGGTTTTGAAGCTATGTGCAAACCATTACATTATTCCTGAAATGAAGTTCTCACATCTTGGAAATTCTGATAAAGCATGGACTTGGACTGCTGTTGATCATTCTGATCCAGATGTTGAACCTAAACCAGAAGTACTGGCTGTTCGATTTAAAACTGCTGGAGAGGCTTCTGACTTTGTGAAGGTTGTTAATCAAGCAAAAGATATATTGCAAGGCAAAGGTAAATATTTTTTCCATGTAGCTTGGGTGCTTTGTTTGAAATTTATTTTGAATGACATTAGAACAAATAAGTTTGTAAGTTGATGGTATTTCCAACTCTTTTCTGAGTTGGTTTCATAAATAAATGTTTCCACCAGGGGCATTTCTGGCATATTTACTCATGCCGAGCCAACAATGAAAAACAATCATAAACAGATAGTCCAATTGATATGCTCAACTGAATATTGTAAAAGTTCTTTTTACATAACTTTTGAGAGGCCTGTGTACTATTGGCCACTTTTCCTAATCAGTTTCAGTATTTTAACTATAGTTATCTCTTTTATATACAGTTATTTCTATATTATATGCTTACACTGTTTTTCAGATGTCTCTTCATTGACAACTACTGTTTCTTTTATCAAGTTATCAACCCAAACTACTGCTACGACATCATCTTTCAAATTATCAACTGTATCTACAACTACCAGCCAGACCACGCCACAAAGGTAATCTCTTTTAATTGTTTTCCAATGATAGTTTTTCTTGATGATTTTTATTTGTATACCATTTGTTCTATTTAACTTTTTACTTCATTTTTTTAGTATTGCCCAAACACAAGTCTCTTCCACAAAAGGAATGTTGGTAGTTGATAAGAAGGCTGGAGCTTGGAATTGTTCGGGATGTTATGCTTTGAATGAACCTACTGATTCAAAATGCCCATGCTGTGGTGTGCCTAATCCATCAGCACCCAAAGTTGGTAAGTTTTCGGATTGTATCAATACCATGTCTTAAACTCTATTATAACTAAATACTTTGAATTGGAAATACTTGTCTGAATGGTTCAATAATGCCATCAGTATAGTTGCCCCCATATATGCTTATGCTTATTACAATTCGTTACAAAATTAGCAGTGAAGTTTTTATTATGAGTGGGATGTCATTTTAAATTATTTCATTTCAAAATCTTGTTGGATATTTATATCAACCCAATTCTTTTTTTTAATTTTTTTTTTCTCACACAAAACTATGTTAATGTTTCCAGAGGAAACAAAGCCTTCTGCATCAACATTTGCATTTGGCATCTCTTCAAAACCAACTGGATTTTCCTTTGGGGTGAGATATTTTGATCCATTCTAAATACTATTATGATAATCTGTAATTATAACAATAACATTGCATATCTAATATTTTCAGATTCCTTCCACGAATGCAAGCGTAAGTAAAACAATTTTCAGCATTGTGAACATTAAATATTATTTTTAATTCTTCTCTCATTAATTATTGAACAAAAACTAAGAACAAAATGTATAGATGTAATAATCTGTTTAATGTTACAATGAAGAGAGAACCAGATTAGTTGGCCTGCATGGATGTCAGTGGCTTCTATATATGGTGGTTTCCAGCTAAACGGTTTTTGACCAAAACAAGGATATGTGCGCTTAATCAGAAGTGATTTAGTCACGTATTTGAGCAAGTTCTTTACAGCTCCCAGTCTATATGGAATGAGGTCCATGCATTACATGTCAGTTAAAATCGGTATTATATAAATTAGTTCAGGTCATTATGCTCAGGAATGCAGCTATAACATAGTGAATCTACATAACTGGAGTTTTTGACAGGTTTCTTACTTGAAATTTGTTTGTTTAGAGCAGGGGTGCACAACCTGAGGCCGTACGGCCGCATGCGGCCTTCGAAGGTGAAATGTGCTGGTGTATGTGTTTTACTGTAAAAAAACATATGTTTAATATCATACTATGTTGGCGCTTGACTGTTACGTCTTTAATGCAAAATAAACTAAACTCGAGATTAAAAAGGTAACAGTTGTAAACATCGCTTCATGTCACTAAAATGCCAGAAGCGCAGCCAGCCGGAATCGGAATCAAAACTTTCCATACGGCAGCTCCTGAAACATGATGACGCTACTAGTTGAAAAAGCCAATTTTTTCGGTGGATAAGATTTTTTTACGTTGAGCAAAATACTTACGCAACGACCGATGTGAGCATTCAAAATACCTTGCTATATAAATTTAATTGTGTTCGACATAACTTGCGATTTAATCGACCCACCTATAAGCATTATTAACATATTAGCATTATTTTTTACTGTAATATAGCAGGGCAATCAGCGGAAATTGATATACGTGGGAAATTTATTCATCTTTTACCTGCGGTCTTGCGAATTCGTTATCGTCGTTAGAAATATCCGAAGGTCTACGATAAAATTCCAAAAATTACATTTTAATTTAGTACAAAAAAAAATTTATTGAACATACCGGTACTTCACACTGATTAGCTTATATATCATCATAATATGATAAAAAAAAAGTCGAGAGTTTTAATATTCACTCGCTTATTTTCAGTTGGAAATTTTTATTTGCAGATTCACCCTTTTAATTATATTTAGCGTCTCTATGCCGATGATCGCATTATAACGAGTTTTTAGAGATAATTTACCAACATAATATCTATGTTAACGGCCTAAATAACCGCGTCAAGCTGACCAAAACAATCGGCGACTTAAATAACATTAGTGAAAACAGCATGCGTTATTAGCAACTTTTAAGGTTTCCCGAAAATGTTAAAAAAGAAGCGGAGAGTTGGCCTCTTCGCTGCGCCATAACAACAGTAATTAAGAAGTGTCGACTGTTGCTCTGGCTTCTCTTCAGACTGTGGATTTCGATTCGATAAAAATATTTTGTCACCCTTAGACACTTTTATTCAGTATATTTGTATAAATTCAAGCATTTCATTAATGTTTTAGACGCGCGCCAATAAGGTATATCAATAAAAGCCAATTTTTAAAATAAATGTGACTAATAAAAGACCTCGATTTCCCTGGCGGCCGTGGACAATTTATAAAAACGTAATGCGGCCGTCTGAAGAAAAAAGGTTGTGCACCCCTGGTTTAGAGGTAATGATGACAGTAAGCGAATGGTAGCTTGCTGACTGAAAACCTTTTCATAACGATGCAAAGTTTTAAAAGTTTAAAACAGCAGTTATGACATCTGTAAAATAATAATAGTAAAAAAGTGATGGTAAATGAATGAGGGCCTCTAGCTAACTGAATATGGCGTCTAAGAACTTCTCTTAGAGAAGCAAGTTTCGAAGATTCAAAGAGCACTTTTAGCATCTGGAAATTGAAAATGATAACTACTTGGCCAGGGGTGAGCAACCTTTTTCGGCTCGCATGCCAAAATCGGCTAAATTTAACAACAAAATTCTTCCGCGTGCCGACCAAAATTAAAAACAATGCTTTGCTACTTCCAAAGCAAAAATACATAATAATAAACCTTTTAAACATGTACAGACGGATTCACTATTCGGATAAATATCAGTCCGACAAATAGATTTGATTACTTTTCTTATTCTATCAGTGAGACTTCTGCTGCTGCATTACCACTGATAGAGATTTTACATTGATTTATATTTTGTATCTTTCAAAGAAATACACGAACTATTGGTTTCAACTTCCAAGCTACTCCTGTTACGAAACTTAGTAAATAGTAAAGACTTGGTAAAAAGACTTAATAACGTTCCAATTATAACGGAGAACAAAGATTCACAAGCATCGACGATCGAATTTCGAATTGTGGCGCATTTACACCTTCTCTTATTGTGTTAAAAGCATGCTGTTATGAAATGTGTATGTGCCGTTTTTTAATATATATAATATCCAACAACATATTGTTTTTATTTACTTGTTATTAATGTGAAGGATGATGTTTTTATGCCAACAAAGAAAATCTGACAAGCGAGTACGAAGTTTATTCCAAGTGTAATGCATTTTAGATAAAGCTGTTCGCAGAAATATGTTCTTCCGAACGTGCCCATTACATGTTTTGCACTGTCGCATAGATCAGCTGTGGCGCAGTCCTAGCTCTCTGGTCGAATTTATTGTCGAAGCACATTGGAATGTTCGGCCCTCGTCGCGAGCTACCCTGCGTTTCCCAAACATTTTTTAAATTTAAAAATCACAATTAAATTGAACGACATACAACTGACGCTACATATTACAAAACAAGCGCCATGCAGCAGTACTTGTTACCACATAAATCCCCGTACAGACAATAATAAATTTAGGATCAATTTTTGTTTCATTCAATAAATGTCGGGTTGTTCGAGGGTCGCAACAAATTGGCTCGCGGGCCCACTTGCCCCTCATTTTGCCGACCTCTGTTGTAGAGTAATGTAGTTTTTAGGTTTTAGAAAATTCTCGGGAATGGCATCCCAATCATGTAATAGTTCGTTTTCTGCACTTCTCTCTTGTATTCCCTTTCCCAATAGCTTTTATTTCTTTCGAAATCAATTTATAACAGTAAGTTAGCAAGTAACACTAACCAACATGAGCTACACAACTTCATAAATCGATCAGAAATATATATTACGTATAACAATGTAGCCAAATGAACGTTGTGTTCATCCTGACAAAATTCGTCGAGAGCTCAGCTGTTACGCCATAATATATATATTTCTTTGAAGCCATATGTTATGAAAAGATAAAAAGAGTTTAAATAAATAACAGTTTGTTAACAAACGATAATGAATAAACGAAACCGAATTTTATCAGATAATTCAGTCTCGAAACTTTTTATCTGAAATAGGACGATCTCGTTTCTGAGGCTTCGCTCGCGTGCCAAATAAATGGGCTCGTGTGCCAAGTTTGGCACGCGTGCCAGGGGTTGTCCACCCCTGTACTAGGCCATATACTGTTGATGGAAAAAGAAATATTCCAGTCATGATGATTTGTTCAGGATTCGGAGAGAAAAATATAATGAAAGATTTGCAAGAATATTTTTTAGGTTCAGAAAAAATTGTCATTGGTCCCACCAGTTGGAAATCCAGTGTCTTTCCAAAAATCCAATTGGTGTTATTTATTGGACTTCGTGTCAGGATGAGAATAAAGAATTGTGTCGTTAGTATGAATGAGTTATCCATAATTCCATTGATTATTGTCAGGAAAAATTTAGGCCCGAGCTTTGAGCCATGAGGAAGACCAGATATACTGTAGGATTAGTGTTCATTTAATTATAATTTATAGTTGAGAAAGATCTCGTGTTGAAATCCACGGCTTCAGTTTTTAGAAAACTGACCCAGATGGTATTCAAATTACACATTATAAAAGTATACATTTATATTATTGTTCTTGACAATAACAGAGCAATGCTAAACACATATCTACAAGATATATTGGCAGGAAAACTGAACTACTATTTGAAAATAATTTACATTCATCATTCATAGGTGTATTCAAAACTGGGTTGCAAATTCTTATTTTTGAATTGGTGGTTCGCAATCATTAAAAATGCAATTGCAGAATGTGCCATTGCATGTCTGCTTATAGCGCATAAATACGAAACTTGTTATGGTTTACTGGAAATAATAAAATAAAGAATAAAATAATCCAATGCCACATTTTAGAATAAAACACAAGATGTATTGTTATCTTGAGTATTTGTGCATTTCTCATCTATACCGAAATCATAGGTTATTTAATTGTGCTAGGTAGAATTTTCAAGAATGCGAAAATTTCCTAATTACTCAATTGAAATCAGCGTGTATTACAAAACGCAATTTGGTTATTTCAGATCAACTATTGCAGTAATGACTTAATAATCACTTTAAATACCGGTACTATGCTAATGATTGGCAGAAGACTAGTTGGTGAGGACTTGTTGGGATTTATGTGATTCCCAATACTTTCAAAGCTAGAATATATGATTCACATAAATATTTGTTGAATAGTTTTGAATAACATTGAAGACTATCATGGAGAATACTGTTTGGGCCAGTAGTAGTCGAGGAGAAAGGTGGTATCAAAACATGTTTTGAATCAATGTCAGGAAGTTAGAAAATACTAGGAAGGTAATTTTGACTGCGGTTTTTGCAGAATAATTGACCAACACTTCTGAATAATTGGCACCAGTTGGAAACCTAGAGTCTGTTTCCAAAAATCCAATTGGTGTTATATATTGGACTTCGTGTCAGGATGAGAATAAAGAATTGGTGTCGTTAGTATCAATAAGTAAATTGCGTACAAAGTTACCATAAGTTTATTGATAATTAGTAAGATAAATATATGCCTAAGCATTTTGCCCGAGGAAGACCAGATCTACCATAGGATTGGAATTTTATCAACCAAATTGTAGTTGGATATTCATTTGAAAAAACAAAGAAAGTAGTGTTCATTTAATTATACTTTATAATTAAGCATGGTCACGTATTGGGGATTTTGGCTTTGGGAAAACTATACCAAATGGTATACAAATTACACACATTTATATGCGTTAATATTTACAATAGTGGTCGCAAATTTGCTATTTTCACAGTATACCACGCTATACGTATGGCGATGTTCATAACAACGCTAAACACATTTCTATCCATGTGTCCATTTATAATTACTAGGAAAAATATAGGCCCTAGCGTTGAGCCCTGAGGAAGACCAGATGTATTTTAGGATTGAAATTGTATTTTATCAATCACATTATTATTTATTTGGAAAAACAAAGAAAGTAGTGTTTATTTAGTTTATAATTGAGCAAGGTCTCTTGTTCCGAAATATGGCTTTAGCTTTTAGAAAACTAAACCAGATGTTTTTGTAATCTCAGTCCATTTTTACATTTGTTATACTAATATTTATTTTATACAGGTATCGAAACCAATATTTGGAAATCAGCAGCCTGTGCAATCGAGTATGTATCATCATTCTTGAATTAGATTTGTTGGTTTGCTATTATATCCATCTGGAAAATGTAATATCGAATACTAGATTTGCTGTCAGCAGCATTAAATACTAAACCAAATAGTGAACTTCTAAATAGAAGGCTTTGTAAATGCATTCATTTTCAAAAACTGTTCTATCGACCATAAAGAGCATACTAAAAATAGCATATATCTAGTTAAAAAGTATATAGGGTGATTGACAATCTACTGCAATTGAATTTTTTTATTTTCTGCTTGAACTACAGTTAGTTTTTTACATCCACTCACATTTAGATTCAGCAACATTAAGGTTTGGTTCAACTGGTTTTACTTTTGGACAAAACAAGTCAACTTCTGTGACTGCTGTGAGTACTAATATTTGTAATTTTTTATTTGAATAGGGCACTTCTGATTTAATTATGGAAGTAGAATCACGGTGAATGGCTATCATTTTCAATGGTTTCATATTATCTTTGTTTAAAAAATTTAGTACAACTGAACTGATTTTTACTAGGGTATTTATTTTGCAAATAATAAATCTTCAATAATTCAAAAGCAGTGATCATTTTTTTTTTCAGGTGTCTACTACTTCAGTATTCGGCGTACAAACTTCAGAAAGTAAGTTGTTACTTGTAAGTAAGTCTTCTCATTTGTTTTAAAATAAATTAGATATCTGTTTTACTCTGGTTCACATGGCTGTCCAGTAAACAATGACTTAAATGATATATATGTATTTCTTTCTAAAAATGTTTTTTTTTTTACTTCAATGAACTTTTCAACTCTGTTGACAAGGAGCATTTCAGGCAGAATAGACTGGGAACTACTCTGGTTGACAGAATAATTGGATGAGATGTTCATGTTTCTTTATTTTGCCAACATTTACAAGTTTCTCTTTAAAATTCAGAATCTGATACAGCCAGTACAGCAGCTACCATCCCTGAACCATCCGTTTCACAAGTATCAACTACTGGTGTACTGAAGGTCACCAAAAAAGTCGGCAGTTGGAGATGTGAATCTTGTTATGTTGAAAATGAACAAGACAATGCAAATTGCCAATATTGTGGGCAAGCAAATCCGAATGCCACACAAGCACCAGGTAGGTGCCAGTGCCAATAGGTTTGAAAAAAAACTGCCATATGTACATTTATATATATATTTGGCAGTGGCGACGCGTCAATAGGGCCAACCGGGGCAATGCCCCGGTTGTTATTTCGGTATAATAAAAAATATTCGAAAAATACCTCAATATCGGTTGCACAGACTGTCTACACTAGCCATATTCTCCCGACATGGTTCATTTTTCGCTCGCAAAGCCTTCGCCGAACGTCGACGGGGCGACGCTGATTTTGCCCCGGTTGCTCATTGTATATCGTATTCTCTCTTTTATCTTCCACTCGCCGCATTTGTCTCGTTTGTTTTCTGTTTCTTTTACTAAATCATCGGGGCCGATCGGGGCTAGCCCCGAAATGATGACGACACAATGCGACGTTTCTTACAACAACGTGTTGACATATTCACGCATTCCTTCTCGTCCGTTGGCTGCTTGAAGAGTTGATAGTTTCCTCGACTTCGTTTTTGTCGCTTGTTTCGCTATTTGAATTAGTTAGAGACCTTTAGTCCATTTGCTTTCGATTTTCCACATTCCTTTTGAGCTCCTCACTTCTTTCCGGCTTCGCATTTCTTAGCCTTAGACCTCATAATGAATAAGGTTGATGCACTACTTCGCACTCCGTTTTCGCAGCTGCCGCTGGAACAAAAATTAGAGGTACAACGTCTTGGGCCTTATCAACCAAAAAATTGTTCACTGGAACAATCCCATGACGGAGCGATGCTGCGTCTGCGATGCTGTCTCTCGTATCCGGGAAACAATAAAATACGACGACACATGGAGTGCTTCTTTACGCCGCGGGCAAACAACGCAGCGTTTGATTTTGTCTGCAAAGGAATGCTGTGACATTCTGGTGAATCAAATAGGCGATCGTCTGCGCACTGAACACCTTGCCGCGTTCTCTTTGATGAACCTCAAAATTTTTTCAAAATTTGCACGTCAATTTCCCATCCATTTGTTGGCTACTGTCTCCAAATTTTACCCCATGATAAACGTGGGTAAATTGGAAAATGAATTGCGATGTATATACACCAATCAAACTTTTTTGAACATTACATCAACTTGCGCGCTCTATGGGTTCCTCATAGATAACACTCTAGTAACTACCTTTGCGGCGTCTGCAAAATTTCTGGACATCATTTTGACGACGCCTATTTCTTCCGCCGACGCAGAGCGAACATTCAGCACGCTGAAGCGTATTAAAACGTATCTCAGAAACACAATGAAGCAAGATAGATTAAATTCTTTGGCTGTTTTATCCATTCACAGAGACGTTATTTCTGGGATGCATGACTTTAATCAGCGCGTTATTGAGCATTTTGCTTCCAAGAAACCGCGGCGTGTTGCCTATATGTTTAAGCAGTAGAAGTCTAGCAGCATATATATCTATGAGTGAGCGACGCATGTCCTTATCTTTGCATTAACTTTCCTTTCTTCATAGTAACGTTTTAAACCTTATTTTAGGTTTTGTCTGCTTTCTCGAAGTTTCTGTTAGTATGTCATTGTATTTATCTGGGTAAATATTGCCTTTCCTTTTGAAAGAGGTTTCAAAATAAACTATGACTATATTTATTAATCCCTTGACTTGGACCGGTTTTAAAGACACTTTCTTATCGTTAAAAATTGTCGCTTTTGCCGATTGGTTGTTACCGATGGAATGGTTTTTATACTCATAAAATGATGGGAGAACTTACAGCGCTCATCCTGTCCCCGTAGATGGGGGTGACTTGGTCCCGCAGTAGCTTGCCCCGGTTGTCAAAATGACCACGCGCCGCCACTGATATTTGGTACATCAATTACTTGATTACATGAAAATAATGTAATTAAGCAGTTTTTGAACTGATTGTTGGAAAACATGTCTAATATTGTTATTGGTATTCACAGCTGGAGAAGCAAAGCCTGGGTTGTTTGGCATGAATACAAACCAGGGCAGTAAATTCTCATTTGGAATTTCTAGTCAACCAACAGTATCTTCTGTAAGTTTTTATTCTGTTCAATGTTCTATATTTTCAAGTATGTTTTAATGCACATGCACTAATGGACATTTTATCGGAGTTTTGATGAGCCAAGCTCAAGTCTGCTAATTTTTTCTGATTTTGCTAACGCTGATCTGCCTGATTTAATATTAATGTATTATCAAGCTATTTTCATTAGAACAGAGCCAAGACCTAAAAAAATATTTTATGCTGTTTTTTTTTCCAACCCAGACAAAGACTTCTTCCAGCATAGTGTCTCCACCAAAATTCATGTTTGGGGAATCTGATGGTAAGTACTTGCGTATGACATATATATATATAGCTTTGTTTTTTTGTTGTATTTGTTTTATGTGTTAGTTTTGAATGTTTTGAAAGGTGTTAAAGCAGGGTGGGCAAGGTTCATGGACCATTGACCAAATCTTTCGTCCACATAGACTGGCCGTCCATGTAAGTGTGATGTAACAGTTCTTTTTATGACAATATTTACAGTGTCACAAGAGCAAAAGTGAAAAACAATAAACTCAAGCCAAAACTTGGCCCATGTCGGTGTTAGAGGTTAATAGTATTCAGATAGCAGATATTACATAAAACATGTTTTGTCATCATAAAGATAATATAATTTGTTCTCAATAATTTCCATTTGTAATATCGAATCAAATCGTAATATTGACTTATATTCGTATCATACTTTCATACCAATTTTTTTTTTCAAAATTGTTAGCATCTTCATCCTTCGGGTTCAATCAACAACAACAAACCAGCAATTTATTTTCTAATCTGAGTTCAACAGCACCAAAATCTACTTCATCTACCACTGGACAATTACCAAAACCAAGATTTCCAAGTGTCGGTGATGAGGAAGATAGCGATGAGGATGAAGATGATGAAGATTACACTGATGGTACGAGCTTGTATTATGTTATGTTGAAGAATACTAAATCTCGTCCACCAAATCAGGGGTGGCCAACCCGCAGCTCTTGCACATGTTGCTGTCTTCATCGTGTTTATTTAAATCATCTTGTCAACTACGATTCATCATGTTTCGATTCAACATATGATTATTCGCTGTGCATTCTTTTATGTCGGAGATACACGAGCGCCTTCGTTAACTTTACCGTATAATCTGCTATTAATATGACACAATTGCATTCTTTGGTGTGAGTAAGCGTTTATTGCACAACAGCTGTCGTAATCGTATCAAAAAAGTCCGGCGGCAAATGCGCCGTTTACCATTTGAGGGTATCTTGAGGGAATTTGTATATTATCTGAATTAATATAATTAATGGAAGGAATGGACACAGATACCTGTAATGATAATTATACAAAGGTATAAGAAGCAGAATAATATCACTGCTTCATACCCAGATCTGCATAATTAATCTTGGTAAAAACTTCAAAAGCAGCACCAAAAGGAAGAAGAAAGTATGATGAATAACTCATTTTGAAATAAATCCATTTCAAGCATTATTTTAGTCAGTTTTGCACAGATATTTGTTAACTTCAAATCACTTCAAATTTTGGATTCACTCAAATGTTTATGTGAATAAATTTGTTGACTTGATTGGCCATTTCTTATTTTAACTCTAGTTATATTACACTACTAATTATTTTGAACAATATTAAAATTGCCCTATATTTTTGTAACTTTAAATTCCACTTGATTGATAATGCAACTCTTTGTCAATTGTCGTCACCATAACTGGTTGTTGTTATATTCACTCCACCCAACTAGTAGGGATGCGACAAGATTTGGACTCGTGCTCGGATTCGTGGCCGAATCTCAACTTTTTCGTTCTGTTTTGCCATGAGACTGTCCAGCCTATTTTCTCTACGGTGAAATTAAACAAGGCGCCGTAAGAACAAAAAAATATCAGCGAAGAAGAAGCTTGCCTTCCATTGCCATACGTTGTTTGGTGAATGTTTACCACATACTATTTCAATCGTGTACTTGCTAATCCTCGAACAGTAAATAATTCGTAATCAGCGGTAATCCTGTCGCGCTGTTCACTTTTCATTGTTCCATAAATGAGCTAGCTATTTTCGGAGTGGAGAAATAAATGTTAGAAAACGATAAAAATAGTGAAAATTGATTTTGAGACTCGCGGATATCGGTGGCGTTACAATCGTATATATATGTACAAAAACAATCTTGCAAGTCGCATCGATTGGATGTGTATGAATTGTGAAACTATTACTCGTGGTAATTAATAATATTCTTATTGTTATTCAATTGGTATTTATATTTGCCGCGATTAGTAGCGCGCAAAATTGAATTTTTCCTGATTGAATCCCACTCCCGATAGATTTGATAACTTCCAACTACAAGCTGATATTGATAAAACAATTCGCAACTACCGCCTGAGAGAGTGATTTTTGATTTTCTGTAATTAAATAGAATCTAGTCATTTTCACTCTTGCTATAGCATCCTTGCATTATACGCATACGGATCCATCTGCGCAAAAGCATAGAGCAAGTAAAGGTAGTTAGTTTCCCGTAACCCCAACTGTTAGTTGAATAATCGAATATTTATTTTTATTTACCGATAGTAGAAAATTACCAGTAGACTGGAGACTCGATAACAACGTGGCGTCTTCACTTCATAATTTTATCACAATCACGAATCTTTTTTTTGTCACCGCAATCCTTTTGGCGACCGACATCCTAGTTATTATTGGTGAACTATATTTTTAAAGCAACCTTTTTCACTAGTATTAGCCTTCACGCAACGTCGGACATCAAAGTTTTGTTTTTTTCGTTTCTGCCTGTTATTCCAGGCAGAAGTGTTAGTACAAATCGGCGAAGATATTAAAGACAGCTATTAATTAGTGAATTCATAAACATATTAATTTTATTCTGATGTCATCTTCTGGGTCGGATTTGATATTCCATATCACAGTGGGTAAATTACGGTCCCCATTTCTAAGCGAACAATACCTAGCGAGCAATACCGTGCTCGTGTTATTTTAGTATTAGATAATAAATAAAAACTCTGCAAATTCACCATTGCGTACTGTTTCGAATTGAATCAATTTAAATGAATAGTCAATAATGGCATTTCTACATAGTCTAAATAATATTGCGTACTGTTTCGAATTGAATCAATTTAAATGAATCGTCAATAATGGCATTTCTACATAGTCTAAATAATATTTTCATATAATACATTATTTACATGTCCTACTTTATCTGGTTTAACGTTTCTGAATGTGAAAAAGGTGTTGGCGCGCTTTATGCAGAATTGGGAATCGTAAAGATAAGGAAAAGAATAAGAAAGAAAAAAAAACACTATGATAATAAACACATTTATTATTTCTGTCTGTTAGCGAGAGTCGTAGGTGAATTCTCACTCGTAACTCTCACTTCTAAATTGATATTAATAAATTCGATTTTGCTTTTCAAAGCGCCATTATATGTACTAATGAAAATGATTGTGTCAGGAGTTTGAGCAGACAGCCCTAAATTAGCAAATAACACATTTCGCCTTTTGCGTCTCTCTTATTGAATTACAATCAACAATTACACATTCTTATTTTCTGTGGATTCGAAAATCGCTATTGATGGTTTTTAAACGAATAATAGCTATTTTGTTATGATTTATTTTTAAGGTACATTTATTTGATGCTGCTATAGTTGGCAATCCTTTATTATTATCTCAATTATCACGAAGATTGGTGTCTGTATCAGCGCCGACTAAAAAAGATAACATATAAGTCAATAGTAGAAATTTCGCATACAAATTTCCTTCCATACGTGGGGTTTACGGCCCATATTTATCAAAATTTCCGCGACGGGACACGAGCGCGGCGGCGTCTTGCAGCAGTCGACGCGGCAGTCAATCAGAACGCATTGTTACATAACAAAATATACTTTCGACGGGGGATAGTAGGTAGGACCTGTTTAAACTAATTTAAACCAACCGCTCAGCGAATGATTGTCCCGAAAGCAATAGTATTTATGTGCAACGTTTTGAATTACATGGTCTTATATTATTTTACTGAATGTTTAATTTACGGCCAATATACGCGAACAACAGCATCACTTTCGATATTTATTTCGGAGCTATGTAAAAGTATTGGACTCGGGTCTTGGACCCGAGTGCAGCGCAAATACTCGGGATTCGGCCGAGCCGAACTTTTTTTGGATTCGTCGAACCCTCACCAACTAGCTTATTCATCAGCAATATTGAGCATCAAAAATAGTGATGAATTTTTTATTTGGGGCATATTATTGAATATACCGCAATTGTTTTATTATCTATTCATGCCATAACTTTCTGTCTAGCTACAGCTTATTCATCAGCAATATTGAGCATCAAAAATAGTGATGAATTTTTTATTTGGGCCAAATTATTGAATATACCGCAATTGTTTTATTATATATTTGTGTCATAACTTCCTGTCTAGCTACTGATTGTTTGTGATATGATATTACATGATGAATTTTACGGTGCATCATTGACGAACTTTATTTATAACAACCCGTAGGTGATAGTGATGTGATTTGTATCGGGGAGATTCTTCCATCTGTAGAACTTCAGAAAAAGGCTAAAAATCTCATGTTACCGAAACATTTTTATAATTTTCTTAAAGAAGGAGAAGAAAATGAAACTGGGGATGATTCAGAAACAGAAGATGAAAAGTCTCAACCAAAAGGTGACCTCAAAAATTATCTTTCAATTTATACCTTGATTTGAAGGAATGAGGATTGAATCAGTATTTTTAACCATATTGAAGTAATTGTATTTAAATAGTTTGTTCTTCCCAGATTAATTTTCATATATATTTCTGAATAATATTTAGGGTTAAGATTGTATCATAGTATCATGGCGAAAGTTTTTACTGATTTTTTACTGAAATTTTTACTGATTTGCATCCTGATGGATTTCTCAATATATGATTTATTACTTTTTTTTCATATACCTTCGTCCAGTCAATAAAATGATTCTGATTTATTACAGGAAAAGAAAAGTCATCAATCTTTCAAGCACTCACCACTTCTGTGTCAACTACGACTACTGATAAGTCAACATTTGGTTAGTGTTTTTCACACTTTTGTGAAATTTCAGAAATTTTCATTTTAGTTTGTATTATAGAGTTCATGTACAATGAAAATTACATTCTTCATCAAACTTTCCTATTACAGGATTCTCTGCTGGTGCAACATCATTTGGTGATTTGATTAAATCTAACACATGTGATGGATTCGCTTTCGGTAATAAGTCAGGTGGATGGATAGGAATGCCAGAGCAAAAGCCATTGTTTGCCAGCCTGACTCAAGGTGGTGATGATGACGACGGAACACACCCAGTATGTACATTTACACTATAATATTTTAAACTGATACAGCATAATTTTTGTTATTTATTGATTGGCCTTTTCAATTATTTTTGCTTTTTCAATGAGTTTGTACCTATTTAGAGTGAAGAAAATGCTGATATTCATTTTGAACCGATAGCAAGACTCCTTGAAAAAGTTGAAATAATTACAGGAGAAGAAGATGAAGAAGAATTATATTCACAACGATGCGAATTATATAGATTTAATAAAGTAAGAGCAACAAATAGGTTCATGACTCAAGGTCGGCACTTATAAGAGACGTCTATCGGATTTTTCAATTAATTCTTTCCATATAAAATAACATGATACTAATTTGTTTTATTATTTACATTTTTCATGGCACGAAAAGTTTTTCTTTTTTCGTGACCAAAATTTCAATACTTCACATTTTTGCAGCCAACTAATGAATGGAAAGAAAGAGGCACTGGGGAAATAAAATTGAAGAGACACAATAAAAATGGTCGTATAAGAATTGTCATGAGACGAGAGCAAATCTTTAAGGTGATTTATATGCTGTTTATAATAATTTTTTTTTATGAGACATCAATTTCATACCTTCTTGTTTAGGTCTGTGCGAATCATTATATTCGACCAGGCATGACGATGGATAAAAGCAAAACCTCGGACCGAGCATGGACTTGGACGGCAATGGATTTTGCTGACAATAAAGAACCAACTATGGAGATATTTACTGTCAGATTTAAAAATACAGATCAAGCTGAGGAATTCAAAGCAAAATTTGATGAATGTCAAGTGAGTTTAGATCCGAAGAGTCTGTATATTGTCAGATTGTCAATATTGAAATTTTCTTCTCAATAATGAGGATGGGCAAATTTCAATATTAGCATTTGAAAATTCTTACATCTCTTACTCAACAATTAAATTCAAAATTTACCTCATGATTTTTAAATAAATGATTACATTATATGACTTTGTGTGATATGTTTTGCTTATTGTTCAGCAAATTCTAAGTTGGATCATAACAACAAAAAAAATTTTCAGATGATGTTATTAGATGCGGATCCTATGACATCATGCAAAGCGAGTTCAATGAGAAGTAAAGAACTGTCGGACAAAGCAGAAAAAATGAAAAATGAGTTGAAATTTTTCAAAGACAAGTTTTCTGAACAAACAATTATCCAGAAAGAGAACAGTGGTAAGTCGTGAAATATTGGAATCATGCTTAGTATGAGAAACATGATTTTACACTTTCTTTGATAATCTATCAGCCAAAACTTTTCATCATTAAATATCATTTAGCATATCTTCAAAATTATTATATGCATGTAATATACTCTACATTGTACGGAACACTACATTTCGTGAGTGACCTACTTAATTTAAAATTATACATTATTTCACAGAGTCTAGTCTGACCGAATCTGGACCTTCGATGGTGGGATCTCTCACTCCACTCATTCAACAGCACACCCAGAGTTTGAAAGAAAAATCTGAAGATGTTGTCAAGAGATCTGATGACTCAATAATAGAGTATGTTTCACAATATTTTTTAAATTTAAGATGGCTAAAGTATCTGGAGTTATATTTCCATCTTTTAAAATAACATTTTGTTTGTTCAGTCTTTTGATTGTGAAAAATTGTATCAGTATAGTAAGGATTTCAATGTGAAGACTCTTCCAAATTTTTGTTTTGACCAACACTAAAGGGCTATTCCAAGTGACACTACAGGATAATTCCAGAAATTTTGCATATTGTTAGATGCGATATATTTCCACATTTTCAGCTACATGTTTTGTTTCATTGTCCAATCAGTTTCTTTATTGATTATGTAAAAAATTGCACAAAAGTTACACTCAAGACTTATTTAGTAGATACAAAAAGTATAGCAAAATATAGCGTAACACTACAGAACGGCATATCCACCATGCACTAACAGTACATTGTGTTGTGCTGTATATTTTTGCGATGGCACAGCAAGAGCCCATAATATTTTTTGTTGCAGTAGCTGAACGACCCCTCTGTGTTGCTCAGGTTACTTAATGTAACACTGTAAATCCATGCCAATAATGTGCATATTGTATGTGACACTACAGGTCATTTTTCCACTTCGGAACAGCGGCCTCTATCACCCCTTAAAATTCTGGTAATGAAGTGTAAAATGGGTGAAGAAATGCTCTACAGCACTGCAAACATTCAAACTTTATCAACTCAAATCCAGTGCATCTATTTCATATGAAATAACTGTACCGCACAATCAAACACTTTGTGTCACGAAACATCACAAAATATGTCAATTATACCAAAATTTCTACATTTCAGGCCATTTTTTATAAACCATCAAAAACCTAGGTGACATTTTAACTTTTTCGGTGAAATGAATGCAGTCCAATAAAATTCCAATGTCTTTTAATATAAAAAATACAAAAAAATTACTTTCGCTACACTTTTAAAAAAATTGATAGAATTCAACTTTTGCTTGGAATGGCCCTAAACACTGTAACATTACTATGGAGTTAGGATATGACTTATTTTAATTCTTTAGCACACCACAAAAGCAACCTGAAAACTCCTTCGCATCACAAGGCAATAAATTTTCCTTCCAACCTAAAACTGATAATAATCAACAAACTCCCACCAGACAATACACTACAAGTGCTGGTTCTGATGATCCGCAGGCTGAAAGTGATATTCAATTTGAACCAATTTATCAACTACCTGATCATGTGGAAATATTTACTGGAGAAGAATGTGAACAAGTAAGTGATACAACAGAATATAATGTAGAAAAATGTTAGTTTCAAAAATCTAACGTCTAACTCATGTATATTTTTTTGCGATTTGTGTGTGTAAAATTTTCATTTATGATTGCGTTTTTATGGTTTATTCGACAACTTTTTAGTACATTTTTCATGTTATTCAGATCCTGTTTGGAAATCGAGCAAATTTATACATGTTTCATAAGGAGGCCAAACAGTGGAAAGAACGTGGTGTTGGAGACATTAAAATTTTACAACATCTTTCAACTTTCAAAGTTCGAGTTTTAATGAGAAGAGAACAGGTAGATATTCCGGGTTTATATTCTATTATTTCTCTTGATATTCTAATTGGCGTGCAATTTAGAAAACAGAATATTATTTCAATTATTTTTTTAACACATACTTCAAGATTATAAAATCATTTTTCTGCAAAACGTTATACGTTCCGAGTCGCGATCCACCAAAAGCTATCACCAAAACATGTGGTACTTTTGCCTGTGTTAAACAGTTGTATTTAACTGATGACTTGGTTTGCATTAGTTAATTCACCTACGCTTGATATACTTAAGTGACCGAAAACTGATGATGTCATCCCTTCTACGATCGTATGAAAAAAGAAATATGAGAGAGAATAAATATGAGAGAAGCCCTCTCGTTTTCATTGTGGTACTCAATCATAAAAATTAAAAACCTGACCTCGGCACAGAATGTGTTAAAATGCTTTCATCATTTGACATTATTTCCCTTATGATATTGATGTGCTTTCTTTATTTATTTTTGCAATAAATTTGAGTTTATATTTACCTATGCCCAGGTCTTGAAAGTTTGCTTGAATCATTATGTTCAACTTGAAATTAAACTTAGTTTCAAAGAACAGACGTCGCATAAAACTTTGTTGTGGACTGCAACAGATTTTTCTGATTCTGAAAAATCGGCTGGAGAGGTAAGTTAGAACTGATTTAATCGATAATTTAAAGGTTTGATGAAGACTTCCATATTGATTGATTTATATCCTTGAAGAAAATTGAAACATGTAATGACTATAACATACTGATTCGAAAATATATGCAAATATCTTCCACTCTCATGTTAAACATTTGTTACACGATGAATATTGTTCATTATTACTCTTAGACACTTCAATTTGCACTACGATTCAAAAATCCTGATACTGCATCAGTGTTCAAAAACTTATGGAAAGAAGGTGCAAAGGCAGCAGTTGCAGAAACATTACTTGAAGCTGACGAATCAGCTATCAATACTTCAACTATAAAACCCGGTGTTACCAGGCCTGGTGCTGTGGCCAAGAGCCCACAAAGTCCAGTTGATCAGCCAAAGCCTACATTTAGCTTTGCAAATGTCCCAAGTCCATTTGACGCATCTAAAAAATACTGATGAAGGACCACATAAAGTTATGGGTTTTGTGTTCGGTATGTATGTTTATGTAATATTCATTTTGTGCATGAACAAGTTCTCAAGTTTTTCAAACCAGACATGATTGTTTCGATTCTGTTGAATAATTTGCAAACTTTCGATTTTGTTTCTTTGTATATTAAGTCGCGCGACGTTATTATTGTGTGTAATTCTTCTTATCCCAAATATTCAATATTGGCCTGGAGTGTGATATAACTTCGTCCATTTTCATTAATTCCTATTGAAAAACATTTGCAAAAATATTCATTTTGTTATGCTACGCTGTCCTGTGTGGTATTACATTATGGGCAATTCCCTATATCCCATCAATATTCGCCCGGGCTATTATTCCTTGTGATTACATACAATAGGATGTGTGACATAATAGTATGGGTAATTCCCCTTTTTTCCAAATGTCCAGTATTTGCATGATGTATATTATTTGCATATAATATAACTTCAAACTTGATTTAGTTCACACAATTAGTTTGATTTTAATCGACGATTTTCCGATTTAGATACATTTCCAGTAGGTTGTGTGACATTATATCCATGGGTATTCCGCTATGTCCCAAATTATGACATTTTTTTAAGTAGAAATCTTCATGAAAAAAAATTACTGGTGTATATTATTTGTATATAATTTGATTTCAAACTCAATTAAAGTTCACACAATTAGTTTGATTCTAATCGACGATTTTTCTATTTATAAGTAGGTTGTGTAATGTTATATTCATGGGTATTCTCCTATGTCCCAGATTATGAAATTTTTTTTGTAGAAATCTTCATGAAAAAAAAACTTGTTTTTGTGGTAATGAATGTTCCTAATAATTTTTTCAATTCTATTCATCATTTATTTTCAAGATATACTTTGTATGTCTATATTGGGATACTCAAGTAGGGTATGTGACATTGGTTAATGACTGTACACCTTGCTATCGGATTGAAAGTTTGAATTTTATTAGAATTTATCACCGTGGCTCTCATAGCCTTTAGTTGTTATGTTCACTCTAGCCAACTAGCTTTTGCACGAAGAATATTGGGTACTCCCGTAGTATATTTACCAGGTTAGAGTTAGGCAATCATTTTCTTCCCACTTTCCTTATTTTAGTTTTATTAGGAGTTCGGGGACTGTCTGTGTTAGACAAGTGAATATTCTTGCTGCCCATAGGTTTTAGTCCCTTACTCCCTTTATAAAACTTGGTAAAAAGTAGGCGAACAAAATTAGTTACCTCCATATGGGTACATTCACTTCTGGAGCGCCGAATATTAAACTTGCAAAAAAAACAATTTTAATCCAAGGGAGAAGTTATTGCTGCAATTGTATTGTACGCCCATGACCTACGGTAACCTTTTATATATCTATTTACTGTTTAAATGGATGATCAAAGCCCATTTTTACAAGGCATCATCAACAAACATTGTTTTTGATAATTTGTAAGTGGAAGTTATGTAATTTGTATTGGGAAGAATCTTTCATCTGAAGAACTCATGCTACAAAAACAATTCTATTTTTTTTTTAAAGATGAAGATGATTTGAAACGGGAGAAAAAAATCTAAACCATCAGAAGACTTCTCCTGATTTATACCAGACATTTTAAATGAAGAAGGATTAAATTATTATTTTTGTGTCCAGCATGAAGTTGGTTTAAAAATTATGCTCTGCTCGGCTTAGTTTTTTTTGTATATTTTAGAGTTGAGAGTTTAGATTGTAATTTGAAGTATCCGAGCAAGACTTTCCGTTATATATTATGACTTGTTTGCATAATAATTGATCTCTATATTTATTATCCATTATTCATTATCTTTTGGCCGATGGTCCAATTTAGAATATATTTTAAATTCACAAATATTTGCCAATTGCCAGAGTGTATTTGAAAGATTAAATTATTTTCTTTTGGCTGGAATCAGACATTATTTTGTTGTTTTATTGAAAACAGTGAACGGTTTAGTGGTAGAAAAAAACTACATTTTTATTTTTTATTTTTTTTTAACACCTAAAACCTGTTTTTGATATTTATGGCCTTTTTATCAAAAAACTGTCATTGTCGAGAATGGAAGATTGAAAAATCATTTTCATTTGATTGAAATTAGGCATAACCCAAAAGTAAAACAAAGAATTTAAGGAAGGAAACGAGGATTTATTTATTTTAGGATTTTGAGGTGAAAATCTGAAATATTTTTGTTGAACATTGATTTTAAATTTCAATTCTCTAAATCTGAAGTCCCAGTTTGCTAGATCAGTGCATGTTTCCCAAACTTTTTTGTACTATCGTTCCCCTACAGTACTTTTAACGTCCTCATCGGTCCCGGACAATACAATTAAACAAAAAGTTACTAACAAATTTATTGCAAATCAATCAAACGAGTAGACTTATCACGGTTCATGGCGTTTTTATAAGGTGGAATGATTGTGGCCACTTTTGTTTTAATATTTTGAAGACATTTTAGTCAGGCACGGCTGCTGAAATATCTTTGATTTAGTGACCCCCTTTCCTATCAAATAAGTTGTTCAAAATGTGAGAAACGGTCGTTCTACTTGACAGATAACCTGCGCCAAACAATATCTTCAGTAAATTTTACTTTGCATTCTCCAACTTCTAGATCTTCTGGATTGGCAGAAAAGTTGAATTATTAAACGTGGGACGGTGAGGTTAATGAAAGGTGCAAATCGAATTTGCACATCTGTAGGGATAGATATTAGTCTTCAATATTAACTGGTGGTGTTTGCAGCAATAGTGATCCTTCTGTTGGTTGCGCAAAATTTTCAGTCCATTGACGGTACAAGCAATAATTGTTCCTTGCTTTCACCTGTCTGTGAGCTTGTTTTTGGCATTAATTTTTAAGTGTCCAGCATTCAGCTGTGTTTTACTGGCGTCATGGTTTGCCGTATAACAAACAGTAATTTTTCTGTCTCCTGGTGATTTGGTAATACACGTGAGGCAGTGACATCGCATGTATACTAAATAATAAATGTTTTGAAATCGATGCATACTTTTAGCAATATTTAGTTTTATGAATAAGACAGTATTTGCACCTTAGTCCTATGGTATTACAGGGTCTTTTAGGTTTAAACAAACCAGTGCCCTAGAGAGAGTTTCAACAGCTCTATTTTGTATAATTTCTATGTACGCTTGTTTGAGTTGAATAAGTCTTAATTTTGATAGTTTACATATTCTGTACATAGTTTTGTGCTGACCTACGTGACTTTCGATTTTTAAATATTCAAGTAATCATTTTGTATGTTGTTTGCTTCTCAAAACCCTTTTGGGTAAGAATTCTATGGCTAATAGTATCGATGGCGTTTTTTTGAATCCACGGAAGAATAACAGACACAGGCTTTTTCCAATTTTACTAAAAAATACTTGAAAGTTCATATGGGATGGCATGGCATGCGAAATTATTGGTTTGGGAACCCAATTGATACCTGTCGATCAAATTATATTTGATATAAATATTGAGCATTCAATATTATTATAATAACTATTCCAGATAACGATTTTTGTTGCCATTCTTAAAGAATAGTATTACTTTAGTAATCATCAATTAAGTGAGACAACACCTAAACTAAATTCATTCAAAATGAAGATTAAATTCATTTAATTTTGATTTGCTTTCCAGGTACTCTTCATAGAGTGTTCATTTCTTCAGAAAACATAGTATGGATAAGTAGTAAAATTTAGGTTTTGTTTGCATTTTTATCAACCCACGGAATGACAAGAAGATTAAACCAAAAATGAGGTGCAAAATTGCTGTCTGGCAAGTAGCTGATTACTCAGTAAGGCAAACTCATCGTCTCTTCCTGATCTTTGTGCATCAACTACAGATCGATTTTTAAAAATCCACGATGAATAGCATATTGCTATTTGGCAAAAAAGCCCATAAACCAGTAAGGCACATTCGGCGCTTCTTTAACAGAGAACTTGGAATTTTTTTGGCTCTGAATGTTTTTCTCAGATCGGCCGGTCCTTGGTCTTCTTGATCTTTGTGCATAAATAAATTTACGATGAATTGCATAAGTTGTTCGTCGTGTAGGAGCCAAATAATTCCAAATTCTTTTTTAAAGAAGCACTGAGATTGCCTTGCTGAATTTTATGCTTCTTGCCCAACAGCATTTTTGCACCTTATTCTTTGGTTTGATCTCCTTGTCATTCTGTGGGTTGATGAAAAATGCAAACAATACCTACATTTTACTACTTATTCATACTATGTTTTCTGAAGAAATGAACGCTCTATGATGAGTACCTGGAAAGCAAATTAAAATGTATACTTACTTTTGAAACACAATGTATGTAATAGAATAAATAGATGTATTCAGTGGTGCGTTCGAATTGATTAATATATATACATACATAGTTGACTGCTGCATACGCATATGACATCACTTAAAATTGGTATATGTGCATAAGTCGGCTGCAAATGCATTGCTATGTATATTGAAATAGTTAACATTTTCGAATGACAACTAACTTCTGATGTTTGGATCCAATCAATCAATCACTGAACCAAAAATATCCCGGATAGATATCTACCATTGACCGATTGCATGGAGCCATGTTCTGAGCAAATGGCGTGAAAGAGCGTTGTGTATAAAATGACAAATTGACATGAAAAGAATCTCAATTTATCTACCTAAGTTTGGGAAGAAGAATAAAAGCCAGAAAAGTCCTTCGACTATACATTAGAATACTTACTCGAATTTCACAAGCCTAATTAATACATTACTTACCCCTCGAGAACCATACATCGAAAAATGAAATTTTTGACCTCTTTAATATCGTTATATAATAAAATCGTAGGTGTCCCTGCATAATATTTAGCGATAGTTCTCCGTAGTATCTCCTCCAATCAACATGTAGCCTATGTTAACTTGTTCCGGTTATCTTTTGTATGCAAACATTTTCTATTGGCTGGAAAAATGGAATTAATCATGAATATATATATACAGAAAATTTGAGCAATGCGAATAAAATATATTTCATTCAAACTAGTTCATTCAAATGTTACTGAATCAGGATATTTTATGTGGAACTGCCACAGATTTGTATCGTCACAACATGAATTGATTTTTTGCATTTTTTGCGTGTATCCTGTGCGTCCTCTGACTCAGAGAATCTTCACCCAAATTATAAACAGTTCATTTTGACGTAAAGTAAACATAGAAGGATAGAACAAAACAATGAGTAAGATTCTACTCAAGAACTATGAAATGAAAAAGGGCCTTGGGAAGCATAAAAGCAGCACAATAGAATAAAGACTATAGCAGCATTCACATTGCAGCTATGTGAACAACAGTTCATTCTATTTTTGGTTGTTTCATTGAAATAAACTTCTAATTTTTGATAATATAGTTGAGATGTTTTGAATAAGGCGTTTTAAAGAACCTTTGTTTGATACATATAATACAGATGAACTTTTATACAAAGCAAACCCATATACGAACAACACGTTTTCCTATTTGTTACAGGTAAATTAGAAAAATCAAGAAGCGTTTATGGTCATAATGAGCATGATTTCAATTGTTGAATTACTCTTACTATTGTCATCAATTGCACTGATAACAAATGCAAGTCAGTTACAGAAAAGCTGTATTTCAGAGGGCATGGAAATCGATGCTGGAAAGGTACGGTGGAGATGGAGATAACAACTCAAATTGAGACTAAATTATAGTGTGTGTGTGTTGAACCCACTTGTTTTTGCTGATTTTAATGAAAAACATGACTCTTTAGGTTAATATCGAAGTAATAACTTCCAATCCGTTATTAGTCAAAACCATTTTCGTGTAACTAGTATTAAATTCTAATCAACCAATGCTAACATACACCGTGTTTCCCGAATATAAGACAGGGTCTTATTTTAATTTTCGAAAAATAACACTAGGGCTTATATGGGAGGATGCCATTTATCAAAAACAAAATTACGAAGTAGAAAATTACGAGATTTTCAAATATACGGAATATGAAACCCGATATCCATTTACTTAAAAATAACACGTTTTTATTAAACAAAAAACTGCCATTATTCAAAATTGACCATATCATTATCCTCTGGAATGTCATGCCAGTCACTAGATTCATAAATTCCAATGAAGCTTTTACTCATTGAACCTTTTCCTTTTTCACGCGTTTTAGTTTAACCATTTGAAACGTGTAAGAGAGATTTCTTGCCTTCGATTAGGTCAAATTTAGGTTTTTCCCATTTTGTAGTTATCAAAAACTACGTGGTATTCTGGACTGATGAAACAACGTCTAAGGTCTCTTGTGCCTGATTCACTAATATCACGTCTACAGACTCTGGATTCCAAGCTGATTCAAAGGAAAATGGGTCCAGGTAAATATATGAAAACAAAAAGCAAAATCTACAGAGTATAAATGTGTTACAATAAGTAAAATATTGTTGAAAATAGCTAAAATTAAAAATAAATTATTTACCCATAGTGATTCTTCTACATTTTCATATGTTGTTTAAATTACCAAATCTACCTGAGAACTCGTCCAAGAGTTACGAGTCTATTTCCTCGGATCTGATAGCATACTAATTAATGATGCTTTCCAATAAATTCTCGAAAACACAATTATAAAATTAGATAACAGGTTGCATAGAAGGACAATTTTTGTAACACCGTTTTATTTGCCAGATAGGTTGAATTTGAATTTCATGTTGACTATGAAGGAGATGGAACTTATCATATTAGGAAATCAGACGATGGTATGTTGTGTACACAAAATGTATCCCAATTGAATGCTTTAAAAACGTCGTGGAAAGTTATTGATTAGCATAACAATGAAAAGTACTAGTAAACTCTTTTATTATTTTCCTTCTAATTTAAGACATTTGTTAATTTTTTGACACAAATTGAACGTTTGCAGAATTTATTCACCTCGAGCACGGAGAGGAAATGAACGGACTTGCGAATGAAGCGGTGTCAAATATGGGTAAAATTACTAATACATGTACATATATAATATAATATTCGATATATAGATAAATTATTATTTTTTTGTTGGTCTGCAGTTAAACTCATTTAATTCTATTTGTTTTAATCAGACAACCTTTTAGACAATGCAGCTATAGTTTTTCTTTCTGACTATGAAAATTATTTTGCGGCTTTGTTATGTCCACTCGACAAAGGTATGAAAACTTATATCAAACTTTTTGAGTACTGGAAGATATTGTAAATTAAATTACCAAGTCGAAGTATTTGTTGTTGCATCATGAACTAGTACAAATACCGGAATATAAATACTCCTTCCATTGAGTTCAAACGTTTGTTCTCTACCCATTGTGGACATGAACAGCAGTCTCGTTTTGCCTTAGCTATATATATATGCACGGTCTGGTGATATCCGAATCTTATCGAAAAAACTTGTGTGCTTTACTTTGTTCAGATCATCAGGTGATTCGTGGATTTTTTCCAAGTGCAAATCCAACTTTGTGACAGGTTGCAGCCTTTATTAACGTCTTGCATGATGTCGCAATATCTGTAAAATTTTCTCCTTCAACATGTCCAGAAACTGACTGAAGTCATTATTTGAGCTAACCAACTATTATTTATCAATGTTAGTTACATATCTATATATATATATATACTAATTTCATCAACAGTCCTCGATGTTTGCTATTATTCAGAATATTGTATTTTAAAAAATAACGCTGATTACGTTGTTTTATAATTATCTAAATATATTTTATCACACCAGTATACGAATGAAAATAATGACTAACTCGTAACCTGCAAGGTAATATCACTATTTGACAATTTAGCCATTGATAAAAAAAATGCTAAAAAATACGTTAAATATAATTACTATGACCAAATTTATTGTTAATTAGGTTTTGATTTGGGTATTTTGAGAATTTCGAAAAGTATTGATATTACGTAAAGCGAACTCGTCACGAATTAGCTTGGCTTGGGACAAGATTGTGTTGTCAGTTTAGTTCATGCGATGTGACTGCTATAACGTTTCTTAATATAGACGCCGTCGGTAAAAAGTAATGGTCAGAAGGATTGGCAAGATTACACACAAGCCATTCACAGATTCTCACTTCTCTTTTTATTCACGTTTCTATTGCAAAATATACTAATAGTTTTAAAATTCGAAATCTTCTTTACGGTCGATAGAGTATTGTCAATGATTCGAGAAAATTCATTCCAGTATATATTACATGCTCTTATCCTCTACGTTCATAATGGTCTCCCGGCAGCTTATGCATATACGTACGGTTTCACAAAACATTTTCATGCTTCCGAGTCTTATTCCTCTGTTTTAAATCATTCCTATTTTTACATGTCAATTTGTCGTACCATTTTCAACTTGACAAGCTGGATATTCATCAAGTACATCCGCTTGCTGTTGCATTTCTTTATGTTTATATATTTATTGGTATTCGTTATTCACCATATACTTTCTTTTCATATAGTGGGTAAATTATTATTTACTGATAGCCTAATAAACAAATAGTGATATATAATTATCTATGATTTACCCTATGTGGGATACCTTGTGACATCAAGATGCCAAAGATCAGATGCCCAATCAACGAATGTGAATTTGAAACAGAGGATGATGCCTCTATTGTTGCTGCATTGCTGAATTTACACGCTACCACACACAGCGCACAAAAAACTCAACAACCCACAACCCAAGTTGAGAAAGTAAAACGTCCAACCATCACATCTGCTAGCTCAACTGAAGAATGGACATATTTTGAATCAGATGGACAGACTACAAGCTTCCACAAAAATATTTGGCCAAGGTCATAATTTTCCAACTATTGGAATGCTGTGACGATCCACTGCGCAAAGATCTAACTCGCACCTCACCTAATCTTACAGGAAAATCAGAACAAGAGATACTGAACGCTATCAAAGGAAAATGCCATGATCGCCAGAGTCAAGCTCGCGAACATGAAACAAGACAGAGACGAACCAGTAAGAAACTTTGGCGCCCGCATTCGTGGCCAAGCGATAGTCTGCCAAGCGACAGATTCCCAGTCCAACAGACGCCATCAGCTCATATCGAAAGGGCGCATTCAAGTCAAGCCCACATCCGATAAGATGCAAGCCACATGTACTTACTGCGGAGAACATTACAACGCAACAGTTTCTCCCACTGAGAATCAAATAACGTTCCTGTCCTGCTTTCAATCAGACTTGCTACCACTGCTTGAAACTACACCATTTTGAATCAGTTTGTAGAGGCAAAACATCGTCAAAAATGGTCAAACCATCACAGGAACCTCTATGTCCAATTCATTACGCTCAGTTTACAAGAATTTATCCAACGGAAATGGCTCTGGACCACCAACCAATATGTGCCAAAGATGGGAAAAACGCAAGTCCAAATCCACAGCTATTTTTTGATATTATGATCGACATACTGCCAATCTGAACTTTGCTAAATTGGGGTTTAAAAAGATTCAACCCAACAACAATGACTGCGACCAATAACAAATGGATACATATCCTTGGCGTCCTAGTTGCAAGATTTTCAGGAACAACTGATAACGGGAAAATAGTTCGTTCCCGTCAGATCATATTACTGATTACCGACAGCTCGGACAAGCTGTTCTTGGGCAGGAAAGCATGCATTGAACTTGTTTGATTTTTCAAAGATTGGCGGAGTCAACAGGGAAATGACATCAATTAACATGACGGACAAAACTTTGACAGGGACTAAAATGGTGACATATAAATATGCACATGTCCCCGCCGCAAACTTCCCCCACCAATTCCAACTGTCGTTACCATACTCGCCGAATGGGGAAAACCGACAGAAGGCTACAGGAGTATCTAATCGAATAATACAAATCTAGCACTTTCAACACCTGCGAACACCAACCGCTCCCCTATATGATGGACGGGCCGCCAAAAAAACTTATGATAGACCATGAAGCAAAGCCTGTCGTTCATCACACACCAGTACCAGTACCCTCCACTGAAAAGAAGAGATAAAAGCCGGCCTAGACAGGGACACTTATAGGACTATAGTTAATAGATTACGTGTTTAAACTTAGTCACTCTAATCTTAAAATTAGAAGTAATATCTTAGTCATAAAATACGTAACAATTAGACGTACTGTAGGGCAGGGGTCCGCAACTACGGGGTCGCGACCCAAATTTGGGACGCGAAACCCCCCGCTCTGGATCGCGAAACAATTTAAATTTTCCATAAATATGAGCATTGCGTCTGTGTAGCGTATTTATGTATAACAACTTTATAAATCACTGATTATAATTATGAATGTTTCCCCGAGTATACACTTCCTTATTTACTGTCGTAACATTTTCCAATCAGCATAATTGCAAAAATGAAGTAACAATAAACGTTTCAGAAGCGCTCAGATACTTTTTCCATTCAGACAGTCTTTCGTGGTTGTGGATATTATCTTCGTTTTGGCAATTTTCGGCGTGTTGTTTGTTAGTTTTTAGTTGTGTTTTGGTAAATATACGTCCTAATCAAATAACTAAGTCCTAATTCTTGAAATAAGAACCAATAATTTTGCAATGGTAGAGTGTAGATCCAAGAGGAAGAATTCAAGAGATCAAAAGTCGAGGAAACATTCGTTACTTAGTTGTTCGCATTGTTACATCCTACTACGTAGACTTTAGGTTTTCAAAATGCTCCGTACGCACCCTCAGGACTCCGTTAAAGACACTTAGACCTCCGCGAGCTATTCGTTCACTTGAAAACTGTCCTCGACCCACTGCCCTACATCAATCTACTTACCTATCCTCGACCCACTGCCCGACCTCCCTCAACTTTCCTATCCTCAACCCACTGCCCTATCTCCCTCAACCTTCCTATCCACGACCCACTGCCCCATCCCCCCACTTTCGCATCCCCGAACCACCACTCTATCTCCCTGAACCTTTCCCCTCTCGACCTACTGCCCTATCTCCCTCAACCTACCTATCCTCGACCCACTGCCCTATCTGCTACAACCTACCTATCTTTGACCTACGGTGCTATACTATTCAGTACTATTATTTACTACCCGATCGCCACACTGAACTTTACTATCTTGCGACCAACTTCCATGGGTTAAACTGGTCGTGTATGCCAATGAGATGATTCAATCGTACGTCGACAAAACAGGATTGACGGCATTCGTATAATATGTAGGCTGAAATCTCAAATGGTAAACAATAACCATAATTGACAGTTTAAAAATGTGTTACTAATTGGGCTACTGATGGTTTCTTGCTGGGAATGACAGTTTTCTAAATTTTAACAAGCCGTTTTATGCCCTTAATAATTGGCCATGTCGTGAGTCTTGTGACAATATGATGCCGATCCGAAATGAGCAATAGTGCTCCTGTTCGTATAAAGTATTTTTCTTTGACATTTTATAGTAAAAGCTGCGTCCTTTGCAGCTTCATAAGTTTCAGATAAGATAAGCTCAATTTTGGGACTACACGCTGGATTGGAGGGCAGTTGGCAACGCTAGCTACGACAAAACATTTCATGTCTTAAAAATAGTTTGGAAGGAATTACACTCACTAAGCGACTTATATTTTTGACTGTTTTTGACTATTCAGCCTCCTCAGCCACGTAAAAAAAATTTGTATATACAACAAGGATATGGCAGAACATTCGTTGAAAAAGACTAAGCGTGCAAATATTCGATTACTTCCTCGTCGTTTTGCCCTGCACGGAAATACAGGCGACATTAAATGAGTTTCTGAAAAGGAAAGATATATCGAAAGGCCTGTTAAAATTTTAAAAACAGTGACTCCAAGCCCGATGCCATCAGTAGCCTAATTAGTAGCACATTTTTAATCCACTAATTATGGTTATTGATTACCAATTGAGATTCCAGCCTACATTTACGAATGCCGTCAATCATGTTTTGTCGACGTACGATTGAATCATCTCATTGGCATACTCGACCAGTATAACACATGGGAGTTGGTCGCAAGGTGGTAAAGTTCATTTTGACGGTCGAGTCGTAATTTTAGCGCCGTTAGGTTAGGTACTCAGTGGTATAGCGTCGTGGGTCAAAGATAAGTAAGTTGAGGGAGGTCGGACAGTGGGTCGAGGGTGGGAAGTTTGAGGCAGATAGTGCAGGGGATTGAGGGTAGAAAAGTTGAGGGAGATAGGGCAATGAGTCGAGGATAAAAAAGTCGGAGGGGATAGGAAGGTTGGGGAAATAGGAAAGTGGGTCGAGGATAAGAAGGTTAAGGGAGATTGGGCGGTGCGTCGAGGATAGGAAGGTTGAGCAGTTGGCCGAGGCGAGGGAGACAGGGCAGCGGATCGAGGATAGGAAAGTGGAGGGAGATAGGGCAGTGGGTCGAGGATTTGAGTTGGAATGACTGTATAACTTCACTGGCTCTGAAGTCTAAATCAGAGTGTATTGAAAGAGTGTATAAATCT